AGACCCTCCCCTATCCTGCCAGCCTCCCATCCTGGTAGCACCTAGACCGCTCAAACTAATGTATGTTTTTGGCTGTTTTGAGAATTTGACCTTAAGGAATGTATGTTTTATTGCCATGAACTATTGAAGAATAATTTTAACAAAAAATTAATATTAAATGTTTTGGTAATAATTTCTTAAAAACTTTAACATTGCTACCTAATATTTTCATAATTTAAAAATTTTACAAATTATTTTACCAAAAATCAAAATACTAGTTATAAATTTATATCATGTTAGTGGGTTACCAATACCTTCATACCCGTCACAGCAGTCTTTTTTAGCAGTGGTTAGTTTCGAAATACAAATATAGTAAAAGTTGAAGCGATTTATATCTGTATGGTTCATAAAATACGGCAAAGAATGCAACATACTGGTTACTCATTCCAATTACAAACTTATTAATAAGACAACATTAATAAATTATTATATAACCATGACTAAAGAAACGATTTTACACTTAGATTTTAAGTTAGACCAATTAACTATGCGATGCACAAAAATATTCGATGCAAAAAATCTAACAATATATGCGGCTGATGACACGCATGCAGTCTACGGCAGAATATATGAGGGGCATCGGGCGTAGATAATATAAGTCGCATCTTCGGCAGGAAAAAAAGTAGGTTATGTAGCAGAGCAAAAATGTCGCACCTACTGCAGATAAAAAAGTCGAGTATGTCGCAGAGAAAAAAAGTCGTGTGCTCCGAAGAGAACGAGTGCGACTTCGCCCGTAGAGAAAAAAGGTCGTGTATGCCGGAGAGAAAAAAAGTAACATCGGCCAAAGAGAATAAATGCGACTTCGGCCGTAGACAAAAAAGGTCGTGTATGCCGGAGAGAAAAAAAGTCTACTCTGTTGCAGGAAAGAAAAGTTTCTTCTAAAAAAGAGAGCAAAAGTCATTTCTGCTGCAGGAAAGAAAAGTCGGCACGACCGTAGATGAACATTTGCCTTTCAGCCGCATATAATTAAAATATTAATAGAAACTGTTGCAGAGATTATCATTATCCGTACATACAAATATGAGAATCATCCTCAGCTTAACATTGGTACACAGAGTCAGATGTTAATCCATTCACTTGCCGCAGATAATATAATGTTGATAAGCTCATGATTCTAATTCACTGGAGCACATTACTTAAAGTGCCCGAGCTGGAGATGTGTAATCATATCTACCACATATAACTTAATTCTGTTCACTCATATATAAGATAAAAGTTTCAGCCCTTGATTAAATAAAAAAATATCAGTAGCATATAATATAAGCTCTCAGAACCTTTTAACTAATTCATATAAATCAAATTTCATATAATCAAAATATTGTAAATACATACTTCTATACAAAAACTATATAACCTAATCAACATTATCTACCTGGTTTAGGATTCTCTCAATCCCATCCATATGATTAATAAGTTTTATCTTTTTAACTTTATCTAAAGATTGTTGTCTAATAGCTCTTTTAATTCTGTTATTAAACAGTGGAAAATTAGAGCATTTCAGATCTAGTTGTACTCCAAGTTTGTTTCCATTCTCATCTTCGTCATCTTGAAATTGATTAGGATCTATTTGAGTGAATACTCCATATTCTTCCTCTTCAACATTGATATCTGGAAATATTGGGATTGATTCAGGAACAGCCTCCACATTAAAAGGATTAGCATGGTAAACATCAGGGAACACATAACCATCTTGTCCAGGTTTAAAGTAGAAAGTAAGATCATCATAATCTTCGTTGTTGATAATATAGCTCAAGATGTGTTCACACCACTGCTGAAATGGGAACTCTTTATCACAAGAACAATTGTATTGGTAGGTTCCAACTTCTTCAACATTATTAGATGTTTCATCTTCGGTAGACTGATTGATTCTAATAAGGGAATCAGCAACGTTTATATCGGAACTTTGTTTCTGAAGTACTAATTTTTTCCAAATCTTGTTCTCAATCTGCGATAAAATTCTTGGTTCAACCTTATCTATTACAATGTCAAAGACTAAATTGATTTGCGTCAAATGATTATTAAGTGACTCAAGAAGGTGTGAGAAATATTTCCAAGCAAATCGTCCAATGTATTTGGCTTTCAAGATATTATGAAATTGAATAACAAACTGATTGCTTTCTGAAGGCAATTCGGAATAAGATACTTGCCAATATTCCTTAAAGTCATACCAACATTGAAGGGATTTTCTCCACTTTTCTGATGAACCAAAATTAGACATGAAATCTTTCCATTCCATAGAGAAAACTTCTCTTTGTTTAGTTGATGCCATTTGAAAAAAATCAGTTAAAAAGATAAAATTTGGTAATGAATTCTCATTTCGTTTCCATGTTTGACAAAGGACCTCATTCACTGAGAGTGGACATAAGGTGACCCTTACATTTGGAAGGTATGTCTTAACAGAATTTAATATATCATGATCACAATCAATAACAATACCCCTTGCATTTTGGAAATAATTCTTGCCTTTATCAAAAAAATATGATAAAGTTTGCTCACATATTAAGTTTGTAACCATGAAACCTTTGGGAGATTCTCTACCAGTAATTTTGGAACGTGACATCACACTTAACAATGTAATAGTACCTTTGTGGTCTTTAAGTTTCTTAGGGGGCACAATATCTATAGCAAGTCCATCAACACAATTAACATGAAGGATCTCATCTTTACCAGCAGAATCTGTAAAAAGGATAACAGCCCATGGATTAACTAAATCTAATCTATGGTTTTCGAATTCTTTAAATTGAATGTCTTGAAAAACATTTGGTTTTCTTTTAAAGTCTTCCACAACATTTGCACGATCATCGTGTTGATGAATTCTATAATATATGTGCTTATATAATAGATTAATCTTACCATAACACAGATCAAACGTTAACAAATTGCTTCGATTTAAATTTTCACAATACTTTATTCTCTGATCTTCCCAATCCAATTCTAGATAGTGTTCAAGTATAAATTTTTGCATCTTTAATTCTTCATTGTTATCAACAAAGTATTGATCTGACAAACAATCATGATTATGATTATATTTCCATTCTAGTTCTGGTGTTTCATCATTCAGTAAGCTTATATAAGCACGGCAACCTTCAGAATATTGGCTGCATGGGAATCGACAAGCTCTATAACTAGGGCTGAACCAGAGCAGAATTCTTTGAATGGTTTCAAAAATCTTTTGGATATGAAGACCTTTATAGTTGTAGATATATTTATCACTGCGATGTTCAAAGCCTGGTAAACTTGAAGCAATATGCAAAAATTTAGGGCCTGGAACATAACCACATATACTGGTACGAGTTGGAGGAACCAAAATTTGGTTGGTGTGAGTCAGATCAATTATACTATGCTCGTTCTGGGTAGATTGATTTAAAATATCGTTTTCAGGAGTGGCGGGAATTGTAGTCTGAGTGGTTGCATCATCATCACAAATGGTGGGTGAGGAAGGTGTAGACATTGAAATTATAGGTTGCGTGTAGTTGAGAAGAACCTTTTCTAAAATTCAGAGAAGACGTAAAAGGTAGAATTTCAGAATATAAATATACTTATCAATTAAATTTAATATTGCTGGCTGATAAGGGTGCTGGCTTTCGGAAAAAAAAAAAAAAAAAAGGGGGCTTGTGGAGAATTAAAAAAAAAAAAAAAATGCTGGCTTTCGGCTAAAAAAAAAAAAAAAAAAAAAAAAAAAAAAAAAAATAAAAAAAAAAAAAAAAAAAAAAAAAAAAAAAAAAAAAATAATAATAATCGGCGTTGTGGCAAATGAAAAATAAAAAAAGTAACAGATTAAAAACCAATTACAAAAGGAAATTTCCTACTGTGCTTTCTATGTATTACGTCTTCTTCTTATACCCCATCTGAGATTGTTAATTTCCGAAGAAAGAGTCGTATGCGAACAATTGAATACGGGTATAGCATTTGGTAAACATCTGTATCTCTCTAGATCAACGGTATCGCGGAGTTAGTTCTTCATTTTAATCGATACTTTTTTTGAAATTAACAAGGTTCCCGCCAAGAAAATTTTCAAAGATCTTGGGGTTTCTTTGTTTGCCCGAAAATTGATCGGCTAGATGTATCTTGAAAAAATAAATCATTTCAAACTCTTGGTGTTAAACCCTGGAAAGAATTAAGAAATAAGGTATCAAGATGGGCGATTTAAGTATGATTGCGTCTTGCAAATAAGAGTATTCGAAAGACGTCCTCCCAGAATTAAGATGCCATCAATCCAAACACAACCATTTACAGCCGCTTGTTTTAATCATATTTTCTTTTTCTGTTCTGCTGCCACATGCAATAGATTTCATGGGTCTATGACAAGTATCTCAGTCTACAATTAAGACAAGTACATTATAACGGAAAGAGAAACATTCAACTTGAAGGATCTTCAGGCATGGTACATGACAAGTATCTATGGGCGATAATTGTCAGATGCTCCAGGAAATAGACCAGTATAGCTAAGCAGTTGAGTTTCATTGTAACAAGAACTAAATTATATAATGTTGCGAAACCATTCGATCTCTACTGTGTAGGGGATTGAGACTGGTGTGTCTGAGGGTAATAACGTATTTAGTTTTTCCTTAAACTCGAGCTTCGGGTTCATTTAACCGATATGGACGAGGATAATTTATTTTTAGTAGAACTACCTACAGTATGGCAAATTTGGTTGCAGAATTGATACGTTTTCGCCATTTCATCTTCACTGCGCCTTCCATGTCAAAAGATATTAACTGGCGTAATGTAACCTAAACGTGGACACATAACTCAGATCAGATTGCTTTTAGCTTAGCCCAATTTTGAACAAGAAGATTTTTTTGATCGATCGGTTGGTATATTAGTTTCTTTTGTGACGGTTTTTGCAACTATTACAACGGAAATAATTTTTGATACAGAACAAGGAATACTACAATTATTATACTTTATTCTAAAATCTATCAATTGTATTTTATAATTTCTATAACGTGTAGTACTCTATAAGCGAGCTATAATAAATAACATATATAAACAATAAATAAACACATCCACCAACTAGCTACTATTCTTTCTCCTCAACTCGTTTATTTTTGACTATAACGTTCTTCTTCTTCCAAGAACGGTCTCTTACACTCGATTCCCTGACGTGTTGTATAATGGTCTCTTAAACAATCCAACCTAGTAAAACGGTGACCACACCCCCATTTCGCCCCATCTTTCAAATATCCCCCACATACAAATCTTTCCTCTTCGGTATGAGTTTTTTCATGTCTTTTACAATCAGACTTTCTCTTGAATGGACTCTGGCAGTACTTACACTTGAATGGTTTTGGCCTTGGACCGAAATGAGATTTCATATGACTTCTACAATAGTCTCGACGGGTGTATCTTTTCTCACAAAAGTCGGATTTATAAATTGCAGGATTCTTTGGAACAGTTTTAGTTTTGGGACCAGAAATCACGTTTAACATTTTTTCGTGGTCGAGAATAATGCTTGATGAGCTGGAACTTGAAGGAGATGGTTGGGGTGCACATTTGTTGATTGGTCGTGGTGCGATGATTTTGGATTTTGGGGTGGTTCTTGAACAGCCTTCTTGAACTTGACAGGAGGGAGCAGAACCTGGAACTTCGTCAAAGGAGAAGGATCTTTGAGGTTCTGTGAACAGTCTTGGAACATTTCCTGTTTGAGGAGACCAATTGTTAACAAACAAGGATGGCGTGGCGGATGCAACCTTTTTGATATTTGCTGAGCTACCACTATCCAAAAAACCCTGAACATTCCACCCACTACCAGCACTGTGTGACAAAGGCATTTCAACAGGAAGTGGAGTGGCCATATTTGTGTCGAAGCCAGGAGAAATAGAACTCGAAGCACGCCCTGATTTAGACCTAGAAGTAGACCTAGAAGGTTCAGATAAAGAGATATCCATCTTTCCTAAAGGAGGTTTGTATACTCCACCATTTCGATAAGATCTTGAATTTCTGTGGTTGCTCATTCCAACTGTGGTTCCAGAACCAGCTGAGATAGAGGGAGTTGAATCATAGATGAACGCTTCATGTGGGTCGACATGATTGAATGTAGCACTTGCAAGTGGTGAAGTGGAACCTTGGGTGCGCATGGCAGTAGTTGAGTAGTTTGTATTTAAGTGTCCAAAGTAATTTTGATCATCAGGATTGAAATCATTGAAAGAGCTTTCAATAAGACGTCCAAATTGTTCTTGAAAGTCTTTTACGACTAAATCTGGAGGGTATGGGGTTGTGGTATTAGATTCTCTTATAATCAGTTGTTCTGCGGACATTGAGCAAGCAATTGAGTTACAAAAGGGTTTCTAGAACACCCAACCAAGGTCGTTTTGGAGCAATACCTAAGGAATGTTGGTTTGCAATGAATAATACCTAGGGGTAGAAAAGGAATGTAGTAAAGAACAATTGTTGTTGGAGTCTCAATTGTTTTTTCGGAGGACGTTTCAAAGATTGTATTTATAATTTTTATAAACGGCGGAGGTCATACTGTAAGTTGAGAGACTGTTTCCCCAGAAAATAATTATTTAATGAAAATTAACTTGCACCGTATTACCCAAAAGAAAGAAGCATATAAAAAATATAAATTGGCCGAAAAAATAACCATTTGATCATGATCACCCTTATCTACGAGCAGAAGGCGCAACCTAGTCATTCCCTCTAGACTTTTGTTAGATAATTTTCCATTTACTTCTTTGCATTGTCTGTGAAAGCACGAATGACAATAAAACCGTTTTTCTAGTACGCCGTTTTTCTAGTACGGCTGATTCACAGTGGCTTTTCAAATCTCACCCTAAACTTGCATAGGTTGCGATCTTAACCCCTACAGAATGCAAAGATGATCTTGTATCTACTCAATTAAGTATCATTCCGACTACGAGAACTTATATGTATGTCGGTATGTATTTTGCCAACTTTCGTACTCTTAGCATACGCCAATTGTGGTTTGTTATAAATGGCTGTGCCTCTGGTTGGTGTTGATTCCCCCCGCAATATTGTACGGAAACAAAAAACAAAAACCGTTGTAGTAGAAACTTAAAAATAAAAAAAAGTAATTAAATTATAATTAAAAGAATTGCACAATAATTTACGTATTCTCCTCTATGCATGCGGTTTTGCTTATTCTGCACAGCCTTAATTGGTGAATTACCAAAGGAAAGAGTCATATGTCAACAATTGAATACGGGGTATAGCATTTACTAAACATCTGCATCTCTCTGGATCGACGGTATTGCGAACCTAGCTCTTCATTTTAATCAATACTTTTTTTGGAATTAACGTGGTTCCTGCCAAGAGAAATTTGAAAGATCTTGGGGTTTCTTTGTTTTCCCGAAAATTGATCGGCTAGATGTGTCTTGCAAAAAATAAATGTAGTCTAAGCCTTGGTGTTAAACTATACCAGCTTGGAGAAAATGCAGATATGGTATATTTAGCTCGGGGATTGAAGTACGAACACATATTGTAGATAAGAACATACTAAGGTCATGCTGCCACTATTCTGACGTGGACATGAATCCAAAAATGGCCGTTTGAACGATCTTTAGCTAATGCTAAATATACATTCCCTGGGGTAGCCACATGGCGGTAAGTATTTTGCGGTCTCTTTGTTTTTTCTCAACTTAATCTTATTGCATATTTGTTTTGCAGCCAGTGACAATAGCCTCATTTGAAACGTGTTCCTAGAACTAAAAGGGACACAGCTTGCAGAGTTATCTAAGAACCCTCAAATTTAATTCCTGCAGTTGGAGAACGCAACCTAATCACAAACAAAAAACTCGGCGTACATCGGTTTTATCTCAGCCCAGTTATGATCAAGAAGATTTTTAGCCTATCGGTCCGTCGATGAATTTATTTTACTACCATTTTTACAATTATTATGACGGACGGAAATATTGTTTTGAAACAGAGCAAAACGATACTACGAATTATTGTATTCTAAAATCTTTCAATTATAAATTCTATAACGCCAAAAAGTCTATAAGCGAGTGATAATAAATAACAAATAAACAATGAAAAAATACTACTACGATTCATCTTCCTCAACACCTCTATCGTGATTTCCATTTTCCTCTTCCAATAAAGGTCTCTTACATTCTCTTCCCATAGCAGTCTCAAAATGTCTTCTTAAAGATTCAGCCCTAAGATAACTCCTTCCACATCCCCATTCACTGCCATCCTTCAAGTATCCCCGACATATATATTGTTTCTCCTTCGTATGTAAATTCTCATGTCTTGCGCAATCATTCTTTCTCAAGAATCCACGATGACAATATTGGCAATTGAATGGTTTGATTCCGGAATGGATTTCCATATGAGAATGAAGATTTGATCGACGAGTGAGTTTCTTGTTACAGATTGGACAGGTATAAATTGGAGGATTCTTTTGAGAATTTGAGCGCCTGGAACCAGAAGCGAATTTTAAGATTTTGGAGCGTGGGAGAACGCTTTCCGAGGAGTTCGATCTTGAAGAAGATGGCTGGAATGCACATTTGTTGATAGGGAGTGGCGAGACGATTTTGGAGTTGGTACTTGGGTTACAGGTGGGATCTTGAACATCGACGAATGGCATGGAGGCTGGAATTCCGTCAAATGAATACGACCCTTGAGCCTCGGGTCTTAGCAGTCTTGGAACGTTTGGTGGTTGGTGAGACCAGTCGTTAACAAACAATGATGGAGTACCCGCTGCAAGATTTTTATCGATGGAGTTTTCGTTATTGGATGTACTAACAAAGCTTACCCCGGAGAGGGTCTCAAAAATCGGTTGATTGTAACTTGATCCACAACCCATAGGTGGTGGAGTAATCTTAATTTGGATTCCAGTTGATCCTGACCGTTCTGTAGATGGAAGATCGGATAAATGCAAAGGACTGATACAATCATTGGTAGTTTCAACATCCAAAAACCCAGCAATCAATTCAGTCTCAGTACCATTGAGTAAAGGCATTCCATACGGAGGAGGTGAAACTTGCAAATTTGAAACATAGCTAGGAGAAATAGACCTGGAAGAATTGATAGAACTAGATACTGGTGACGAGAAACTAACCAGCTTTCTTGAATGAGATAAGAATGGTGACTTGTGAATTCCCCGATTTGGAAAGGCCCATGAATTTCTCTTCTTGATTCTTCCAATAGTGGCGGCAGATCCAATTGAGTTTTTTGTTGAAGGAGCTAAGTCGTGGCTGAATTCTTCAAGCGTATCTCTATCATTGCAGGATACACTTGGAATAGATGAAGTGGAATCTTGTTTCCTCAAGGTAGTGGAGTATCCTATATTTAAGCAATCGATTTCATTTACCTCAGAAGCATAGGAACCATCAAATAAGCTTTGAATGAAGCCTCCAAATTCTTTTTCAGATTCTGCTATTGCTAAAGCCTCAGCAAATGAAGTGTTTGAGGTTTTGGTTTCTCTAGTATTCAGTTGTTCTGTATACATTGTTAAGGAATGATAAGCAATTAAGTTATAAATGTCTTTGTAGCAATACCTAAGGAAGGTTGGTTCGCAATTAATAAAAGCTAAGGAAGGAATGAACTAAAGAACAAATGGTTGTTGGAATGTCTATTCGTTCTTTCCCTTTTGAGGGGAGGAGAATTCATTAGATATTTATAATTCGCTGGGACCGCTGGGCCCATATTGTCTTTTAAGGGACTGTTTACCCAAAACTGAATTATTTTCTAATTACAGAAGTGGGAACTATTTTAAGAACGGTTTTTAATTGTCCCCCCACATATTATTTGTTTCCGTATTGTTTTTTCTTATCTTAAAAAGAAAGTCATCTAAAATGATAATTAGAAAATATTCACAAAAATAAAAAGCAAACGTTCCTACGATACAAAATCTACAAGGTTTACGAAAATAGTTTAATTGTGCATGGTCATCTACAAACTGAAGGCGCAGTTTAGTGATAATCTCACCGAACTTCTAGTATAATCACAATCTTAAATTTTAATTCTTTGTATTGTCTGCCAACAATAGCAAGAACCACGAGGAACAATAGAACAATCGTTTTCTAGAACCGTTGAACATAATGGCATTTGTCATTTCACATACTCCCGCATAAATCTGCATACGTAGTTATGCAGGGTCTTATTAAATATGAAGTATAATGTTTACTCAATTGATTGACTTCATTACTTAAGACGTGGTGGAACTATTTCAATTCTGCTTGTCTAATTTTAGAATTTTACCTATTGATAAATATAGCCCCTTATCAAACGGCTGTGACCTTTTTGTCGTGATCTTCTTTCCCCACCAAATTATAAAATCAATCAGTTAAACAAAAAAATAATCCTTGGTGTGGCGAGTAAAAAATAATATAGTAAAAACAAAAACACAAGAAGATTGCAAAAATAGCTTTCGTATAGTTGTTTGTAGTCCGTTTCTCTATCCGATCCGGGCTCGAAAGAATACAAAAACGAGAGTCACATAAACAAACAATAGTGGCTATAACAAATCAAACGATTACATCTGCCTGGATCAACACCTATCGTGTATTTCTCCCTTCTCTTGCAAGAATAAGTTTACATGATATACCAAAAGTTTATTTAAATTACCTTAAAAAAAGAAAATGTTTATCCATTATGGAAGTGCCAAGAGATCTTGCAGTGCATAGAAGTTTCTTTACAGAAATATAAATCGGCTAATTTTGTATTGCGAAAAATCAACGCACGAGTACTGACTCGAAACAAATTCTCCTCCGGAGATTAACTATGGGGTACCAGAACATTCATGTAAGAACTCACATTATCGGGAATACAAAAATATGAAGACAAGCGATTAATGGCAACCATGAATTAAATTAAGACTTTCCTTCTTTATTCAGAGGTGAAGATCTAATTAACCAGATCCTATTCCACAATTTTTCGGAAATTCTAAATATACATTCGTTGGTTTGCGCCGTGTCAACATGGTTTTAAATATTTTGTAATTTATTTTTGACGTATTTTTTTTCGCAGCCAGTGACAAGAGTATCTGTGGCTTGTTTCCCCACACTAATATTTTGAACACACTAATATTTTTTCGCCCACGATCTCTAGAGTTTATCTTAGTCTACAATTGATATAGTGATTTATCTTAGTTACAATTGACATAAGGAGAAATATTCTAATATTATCTAAAACATTCTATAAATTAAATTCCCCTATGTATTTTCTCAGGAATCATCAACCATCTTGCAAAATCAAACTAAAGACCGACACCAGTCACCAAAGCTAGCGGAGTTGTCAACTAGCTCGGGAATAGAACGAGGTCCCACACTCTTTACAAGCATAAAAAATTCTTTTTGTTGTATTAGCAATGAAGTGGTCTGGTATAATCTTACCACATATCATGCAAGTATATGTCTCTTGATGTTGGCTAGCTATTAGTTGGGAACCTTGTGGTACAACGCTGTTTGCACTGTGATGATAAGTCGCACTTCTAATATCATTCTCGTTTCTACTATCATTTTCGCTTCTATGATCATCATATGCACCTCTATTAGCATTCACATATTCATGGGTGTGGTGTTCCTTCGAAGGCTGCCCTGCTCTTTGTACGAGATGAAAAAAGTCTGAGAGTGGGTTGTTGGCGTTTGGAGGGTTTTCGGGCATGATGAATGGAAACGTATTGTAAGGAAAACTGGACAGATACATTGATATTTATATGAATGTAAGGTTGGCAAAGACAGCTACATGAATGATTTTCTGGGCTGAAAGGAAAATGCGCATAGCTATATTATATATTTATAATTTTTCGCAACCATTTTTCCTCTTTATTGTTCTCGGTGAGACTACCGCAAGGCACCAGCTTTTTTTTTGGATTATTTCCACGTAAATTAGATCTTGGGTTTCTTTTAAAACGATACGGCTGACAATAATTTATTTTTAGTAGAAGTAATTTATTTTCCGCCCTATGGTCTATTTATAGATATTTGCAGACAGGCGGATGTCTTTGGTTGCAAAACCGAATAGAAGGCGTCTTGATTAAGAACGAAACTTTTCGCTTCCCGTTCTCCTTCCTGTAATTTTTAATTGACTGTTCTTCGATAATGTATTCTTTCCACCGATTGATCTGTTTCCGGTGGCTTATTGTATTAGAGACCCTTTCAAATCTATTACAACGTGGAATAAATCTTGAGTAAAGGATTTCACTTTTTTGTTAATTTATCACTTTCCCACAGGTAAAAATTTCACTGCCTTTTTGTTTGATATTCTCCGTCGCGAGCACTCAAGATTTATTCAAAGCGGCAACATTTCATCTAATGTTTTTCTTAAGCGGATAAAGGGAAGATCGCAGATTAGGTAAGTCTATTCGTTGACATAGCAGGCTTTTTCAGGCGTAGATTGAAGCTTCTAAAGGACAAGTGATAATTCCTTTTTGTCAAACTATGGAGCTTCTAATTGAATCAATAACGTGGTGTAATAATACTGCAAGAGCTCCGTTATTCGCTGCTTTCATTTCTAGTCCTGGAGCGTTTCTTTTCCAAATTCTATAGTCCCACATTAAAGCTCTTTTTTGTGAACAAAACACCAGTTGTTCCTTTATTCATATCTGCCCTGTTGATGAGACTGATCTCGCTCAACGATTCTACGCCGATGGGGTCATTAAAGAGGGAGTTGTCTCGAAAACCTCACATTGCGTACATTTTTGAACTCAGCTAACTCTTAAGCTGTCTGTCCCACTAAATATGACCACATTTGGATACAACGAAGAGGATCGAGCGCATTCCTTTACGGGGAGGGTATTCTGTCTACACTCGTGCACATTCAATGTCGAAACATTCAAATTGAGGTCATCCTAAACTGGAACAAATAAGTCCGAAGTCATTTCTTTTGGTCAGCCCACATATGATCAAAAGAGTTCTTAGTCTATCGGTCCGTGTGTTAGTTTCTTTTATTGTGAATTTTGCAACTATTATCACGGAGCAAAATAAGTCTGACATAGAGCAAAGAGAACTACAATAATTATTATAATCTAAAATCTATCAATTGTAATTTCTATAACGTCAAAGACTCTATAAGCGAGTGACAATAAATAACATATAAGCAATAAATATAAACCCACCAAAGGTTTCTCTTCTTTGTGTTCAACTGCTTCGACACCTTCACCAATGTGTGCTCCATCTTCTTCTTCTATCTGCTTCCTTGATCACTTCTTTTTCCTTCTTTCCTCTTCCATGAAACGTCTCTTGCATTTTTTCCCCTTAATAGTTTTGAAATGTCTTCTTAAAGATTCTAACCTAGGAAAGCCCTTTCCACACCCCCATTCCGTCCCATCTTCCAACACTCCTTTACATAAGAATTTATTCCTGTTGGTATGTAAATCTTCATGTCTTTTACAATCGTACTTTGTATAGAAACTACTGTCACAATCCCTATTGCTACACATGAATGGCCTTTCACCTGAATGAGTTTTCACATGCGAATTACAGTTTGATTGACGGGTGTATCTCCTTCCACAAACATCACATTGATAAATTGCAGGATGCTTTGGAGCAGTTTTGTATCTGCCTGTAGTACCAGAAACCAATTTCAACATCTTGGTGCGAGGAAGAACATTCTTTGGGGAGTCGAGACTAGGAGGAGACGATTGGAAATTGTTGATAGGCAGTGCTGAGACAGGTCGGGATGTTGTGGTGGTGCTTGAAGAACCCTCTTCAACTTCACTATATGAATTAGGGATGTTTCTAAAGGTGCAAGATCTTTCAATTTCGGGAAACAGTCTTGGAACATTTGCTGGTTTAAGAGACCAATTGTTACGAAACAATGATGGGATGGCGGATGCTGGTTCCTCGATATTGGATGAGCTAGCAAAATTCACTGTGGAGAGCGCATCAAAGATAGGTGGATTTAAGCTAGCATTTAGTGGTTTTGGGTCTCCTTGGTCTGGAGAATTAAACAAATCTGATAAATTAATACAATCATTGGTAGTATCGAAATATCCAGCAAGCAACGAAATCTCATTAGTGTCAAGTTCCCCCATTATTCCGGATGGTGGTGGAGTAACTTCCAAATTTGTAAAATCGTTAGGAGAAATGGACCTTGAAGTAGACCGAGAGGGTACCGATAAAAAGCTATCGATTTTTATTAAAGGAGGCCCGTGGATTGTACTAGTCGCGTAAGGCAATAAATTTATCTGGCTGCTGCTTCCAGGTGTTGTTCCAGAAGCACGTGAGTGTGAATAGGTTGAATCATTTGTTGTTGGAATTGAAAGAGTTGAATCCTGCTTAGTCATGGAAGCAGTTGAGTAGTTTGTGCTAGAGTTCCAAACATTATTTTCTGTGGCAGCATTGGAACCATTGCGAGAGTGATCAGCTGATTGTTGTAAGAATTGTTCAAACTCTTCTATGGATTTTTCAAACTCTTCAACGGTTAAATCTTCCAAAACTGGAGTTGTGTTATTAGATTCTCTGATCTGAAATTGTTCTGCATACATTGGAAGTAATATTAAGCTATTCATTTAAAAATGAAGTTGTACCAAACTCTAGGAAAGGTTGGGTTTCAATTAATAAAAGCTAAGTATGGAAAAGTAATTAAGTAAAGAACAATTGTCGTGGGAATATCAATTAGATGTTTCCTTTGTTGAGCTGAAAACGTTTCGTATAATATTTATAATTGGTCCTCACGGCGGAGGTGTGACTGTAAGCTTAGAGAGTGTTTCTCTCAAGATTATTTTAGAAAGTAATATGTATATTATTTTTAAGAATAGTATTATATTCTTCCCCGCCTATCCCCCTTTGTTATTTCTATATATATGAACTATAACCAAGTCATTTAAACTAACCCTCTCAATTTTGTACCTATACAAAAGCAATTATTACAATGTAATAGTAAAATGATTTACGAGGAGTTTATTTCTTTATTCTTCTGAGCAGCTTTATTATTTTATTATTTTTATTGTCTATTTGAAGCAACATGATCACAGACATCTGCGAACAGACGGCGCAACCCAGGCGTTTAGAGGCTTTTGTAATTTTGCAATCTGTGTTTTTGCATGGCAACAATGGCCAATTCCGAGAGGAAGAATGCAACGGTTTTTTTACAATGGTTGATACATTGTGGCTTTTGATATCTCGCATATACTTACATGAATCTGCTTTGATTGATGCATCCTTGTAAGAGATGGGATGTAATTTCATGAGTTAGAGAAATTCGTAGCCATATGGGAAACTAATTTTGTCTCCTTCTAAAGTTTTATCATTTGTCAGTTTATTTCGTTATCAAACGGCTGAGCAAGGATGACTATCCCCCCGCAAAATTCTAAATGCGACCCCTGAACCAAAAAAAATAATCGCTACTGTGGCAAATAAAAAATAAAAAACAATACCAAAAATAAATTATTCTTCTTAAGTTCCCATGAAAAAAAAAAATTTGGAGAAGTAGTGTTTTGTTTTTTTCGCAGAAATACAGCATAAATTTATTAAACTAAGGGTTAATTTTTATGAGAAAAAACAATTTGGAGAACTAGTGTTAATTTTAAGTATTAATTAAATAATTATCTTCAAAAGTCCTAAATTACACTGCACCCCATTCTTTGATCATTTTATTATCTAAGAAGTAGTCATCTAAAACCTTCTAATGCTTGGTTGATTGACAGAATCAAGATATTGAAGTTTTATAGGTATTTCTGAATTAATGTCAGTTTTTAACCTAGTTGCTCGTCATAAAACAACATACTATGATGTGCAACGGGTTCGACATGGGTTTCTACGTTCAGGGAATCATCTGTTACTCACTACATTCGATTTCGACATTCGATTTCGATCTCAAGAATCGCATTGATGTCATGCAACCTATTTTTTTTACTTATAACCTTGAGGAAAATCTACAAAGTATTTAAATACAACCTAAGCGCGCACAAACAACTCCGATGACATTGCTTTTATCTCAGACCACCTATGATCAAGAAAATTTTGATGTATCGGCCCGTATATTAATTTCTTTTAATTATTACAATTTTTGTAATCGTTGTGCAGGACCGAAATACGTTTTGATATAGACGAAAGAAAACTGCAATATTTATTCTATTATAGAATCTTTCAATTATAAAATCAGCTCATATGGAAACCTATTCTTCTCTAATAGAATTTTACTTATTCTTCCATTGTTGATCTCATGATTATTCCCAGGGACCTTGCTTCTCAAGCTTTTGAATTTCGCCAGACCTAGAGCCATTGTAAACATATCTGCCAAATTGGCTTCCTGATCAACGTGCACAACTTTGATCACTTTGCCAATGACTAAATCTCTTAAATATTTGAATGAAATATCAATATTTTTTTTCATATGATTCAAATTAATGATATTGCAGAAATGTATGGCTGCCATATTGTCTTCATGAATAAATAGTGCCCGAAACACTGTACTCTAGATATTTCAATGTCAATTATATGCCTCTCTTGTAGTTGCTCTTAATGCAATAATTTCCCTTTCTGCTGTACTCGTTTCGAAAATACCACTCCATGTCATCTGTAACTGATATACTAGTATGCAAGGAGGAATGAAGACCCCCTTTCAATTACACAATTTAGTTGATTTTCTGTCAGCTTTTAACGAGATCAGCGCACTCTTTACAAGAATAAAATACTATTTCCAGTTTAGTGGTACCCAGTTGTTCTCTTAACAGTTTCAGGCATGTCGTACATGTACACGTAAATTCTGGTAGATGTTCTCTCGGTATTAAGTCCATGTTCTGCGGGACTACATGATTGCGGCAGAGAACTGATCAGGCAGCCACTTTGATGTTTATATAATTCGAAAGAGGCTAGGGAAATTATCTATATGATGCACATGGTAACTAAAGGCTATATTATATAAAATTTTGCAACCATTCGTTTCCTTTTGCATTGTTTTCATTGTGGCTGGTGCGAGCACAACAGGGGTCTTTTCTTCGCCAAACTCTAACTTTAATTTCTTTTAAACCAAGCCCATTGAAAGCAATTTATTTTTCGAAGAAGTAATTTATTTTCCGCAGCCTCTCTTATTTATTTATGCATAACTTGACTTTCAGTAACCGATCTTTGGCTGCAAAACTAACTATAATACCGCCTAAGACAGTCAATAATTGCCTTACCTCTCCTATGGAATTTGTAATTGACGGTCCCTCTATGATCTGCTCTTTGAACAGATCGATCTCTTCCCAAGGGAGCTTGTCATATCACTGATTGTTTCAAATCTATTACTAAATGCCACACATCAGGGGCAAAAGTTTTTACTTTTTCTAAATGTGTCACTTCCCCACTGGCAAATTTATCGCCGGCTTCTTGTTTGATCTTATCAAAGTCATCAATATGTACATTCTCATGAATACGCACGATTGTATCCCGATTAGATTTCTCCTTTATCAATTGATGAGCAATACCCCATGCAGCTTTTGAAGTAGGCAATAATCCAAGATTTATATGACTTATTGGCAAGCTTTTCTCCGGAAATGATTTCAATCGATTTGGGATATTTTCATTACTTTCCAAAAACAAATATGCATCTATATCACTGTTCACAAAGTCTTTTTCATATTCGAAATCCTCCTCTGAATGAATTATCTTATATTTATACCCCGCATACTCCAAACTTCTTCTAAACCCTTCAATTGACCAAGGATTCAATTCCCAACACATCAATTTCCCCCCATTTTTCAAATATGAAAGTGAGAAATATCCAATCCCACAATAGAAATCAAAAATGACACTGCCGTTTAAATTCTTCCAATTATCCAAAACACGTTTCTTTTCTTTAATATTCCCTCTTGAAAACATCGTATAGCGCGGAGCCCAAGTTTGATATATTCCATTCTGAACAACATGACACCAAAAAGCTTGTTGGAAATCTTGTTGAGTTGGTGCAGGGGAGTCGACTAATGGCCCGAAATCTCCGTGTAACGGTAATACATTTAGTGGTTTTCTCATTATGTTATCAGTGTCTATGATTGGTTTGTTGATTGCAAGATGGGTGATGTCGGATGTTCCAAAGAGCGGTTGTTGATGAGATAGAATATGTTCGAATAGATCATGTGATAGTGTCTCAGTTTGTTGGAATCGTTGTTGCCAAGGTTCTCCATCGAAGGTGTTGGAATTGAAGAGAATCATAGGAGGATAAATACTCCAACGTTTCGGTATGGTGGATTCTGGTGGGGATTCGATATTTCTCGAGACACAAAATTCGTTCACTATGGAATATAAGGTCATGATTTGGGGTGTTTCTTCTTGATATGTCTCATGAGCATATTTCGAGAGATCATTGGTTATTTCTGATAAGGTAGTATAAATATGGAATTGGTTATCGTGTTTCTCGATTTTATGCTTTTTCAGAAGTATGGAGTTTTGTTCGAGATATTCTTTTAATGTCTTTATTTCTCTTGAGTCTGACAATATTAGTTTGATTGGCATTCTTGGCGGTATCGACTAATGGTTACAACATTCAAACTGTACGATTGGATTTGCGATGCTTAAAGGACGTCATCGAAATAATTTGGTAATCGCACGCCAAACTTTTTCATTTTTGACAGCCGTCTAATAATTCGGGGAAAGTTATGCCAAGGTATTGAAAAGTGAATAGTTTTACTTCATTCTGCATGTACCGAACCATATATATTAAATGCTTATGTTTACGTCTTAATCGTGGAACAACCGAGGTAGTGAGATACGTTTGTGGAATGACTCAAATACGGAAAATCCGGAATGCAGCTAGATGCGTGATTACATAGAAGTCGATTGGCTCGTTCGTGCTTCTTGCAGTAATATTTGACGCTAATGGTCGAGAAAGGAACCCTTCGGGATGATTCATTAGAATGCTGCGAAATCTAAGTAGTTGAATCGTTAAAATACCTCAAGGATCACCACCGCGAATAGTGTCGTACGCCCAGGCAGTCCCCTGGTACATATCGCTGTGACGGGATATTTCTACGTGATTATGCAAAATAAGGTTTTAGGTTAGGTTGACGAGTTACGAGTTATCTATTCCAAAACGGGCTGTTATAATTAAAAATACCCTGAGCGTCGTTGAAGAAAAGGTTAAAATGGTCGTAACTAGTTCTTAATTGGGATATATTTGTGCCCTTGTCGAGAAAATCATTTTGTTAGCGGAAAACTTTCATATTAGACTAATCGTCTACGTATATATTTCTATCGACGTTGCAGTGTCACATGCATACAAAAGTTGAGGTTGGTATACATGAAATTCTGGTGATTAGTTTCAAGTTTTTTGAGATATCAACAATAGCCGTGAAATAAACTTTATTTTAGATGCTACATGTATTAATTGCCATTGATTTTTGACATGTCTGTCACGGCTTTTTTTACGCAAACAGTAGTGGTTGCTTTAAAAATCAATGGGAGTTCATTGGTGGTCCGCATTTTTTAGAGCCAAGGCTCTTACGTAACTTCTGTTCATTTTGTAGTGTAATTGCACGACATTCCGGCAACTTACAATTATGTAAGTGAATTACACAACGTGACACAAAAAAACTTTTGCAATTTTACCTTTTCTTGTTGCGTGTTCTCTTTTTTCAATTTGTATATTTATTTTCTTTGCATTTTTATCACGAAGATTTTCATAAACCTTAAATGAAGTCATCGTCGTATATTTTTAACACTCGTTTGTAGTGAATCACACAAGTTACATCATTAGTTTCATACTTTTATTGGATGGTTTTTCTTTATCTGAATTTTATTTTGCAGTCATCCAATTATTCCGTAGGGCTTATAAGTCACGTCTTTCTTTTGTTTTAAAAAAATGTCACCCGTTTAAACATAACCCTAAAAAAATTTATTAAAAGGAGCGAAATCATTTTATTTATTTTCTTTTTTTTTTTTTAGAAAAAAAATACATTTTAAAAATATTTTTCCCGACATTTGAATTTTTTTTTTTCTTTTTTCTTTAAAGTTTTCAGAAATACACCTCTCTCCTTAACAAACAAAAAGGATTTACAATACAATCAATAAATATTACCTACTTTTTCTACTTAGAGACAGACAGACAGACAGTCGTTATACTTACATTGAAGTAGCTATAAAAGAACAAGAACTACATTATTCGCTAACTGATTTTAAATCCAATAGGAATATATATATATAACACATATACCAGTTGCTTAACACAATGACTAGCAAAACTGCCAAAGATAACAAAAGATTAGAAGAGATGGCAGACCGAGAATATCAATTATCATATCTCGCAGCAGTCGAACGTAATCAGATACCCTTATCACGGGCATTACTCATAATATTGTATGGTTTCCATCTAATCAAACTTCCAATAATACAACAATATACCACCAAATTTCTATTTTTACAGAATCAAGTTGGATTCAATGCTAATAATAAACCAGTTTATGATATTCACATGGATGATTTATATTATGTGATTAATTGGGTTATCATGATAACATTCCTTCGTTCATTCCTTATGAAATGGTGTTTTGGTCCATTTGCATCGAAATTTTGTCATATTCATTCTCGTAAAGCAAAAGTAAGATTTGCTGAACAAAGTTGGTCAGCAGTATATTATTCATTTTCATTTATATATGGAGTTTATCTTTTCTTAAGGTCACCATATTATAATAATTTAGATCATGTTTACCTAGGTTGGCCAGATCATCCAATGGAAGCGGCATTTAAGAGATATTATTTGATTTCTACTGCGTTTTGGTTTCAACAAATCTTTGTGTTGAATGTTGAACAACATAGAAAAGATCATTATCAAATGTTTAGTCATCATATTATTACTTGTTTATTAATTGTTGGATCATATTATTATTATTTTTATAGAATTGGACATTTAATTTTAATGATTATGGATTCTGTTGATATTTTTTTAGCGGTTGCCAAAATGTTAAAATATGCAAGATATACTCGTGCTTGTGATGCTATGTTTATATTATTCTTAATAAGTTGGACAGTTTTAAGACATGGTGTTTATAATTATGTTTTTTATCATCTGTTCACTAAAGCAATGATTTTGTCTGGGCCAGGGGAATGTGCCGTTGGCGCAGTACAAAAAAGATGTTGGACTCCTGGTGTTTATTATACATTCTTTTCATTATTAGGTGGATTACAAGTTATTACTTTGATTTGGATGTATTATATTGTCAAAGTTGCCTACAAGGTTGTGACTGGATCAGGGGCAGAAGATGTTAGAAGTGATGATGAAGATACAGATGTTGAAATTACTGAAACTAAAAGCAAGAACTATAAACAAAGAGAAGATTACATTCAAGATTTGGCCGTTGATACTGAAGATTTGGAAAGTGATGAAAGTGTTGATTCCGTAATTGAGGTTAATCTGAAAAGTATGGAAAGAGATATTTACAGTTCAGCGTCTGATGTTACTCTTGGTGATGATAAAGATTTGAATCAAAGGAATATCTGATAGAATTTAATAATAATCCCGACACCGAAAGTGGACATTTTCTTTGACCTATTGATAGACATCTAATCTTTGACGCTTACAGGGTTGTGCTTGGTTTTTTTTGTTGTTTGATTTTTTTGTTGTATAAATAGTTGACATTGATACTAAATATCCTTTAATACTTCTTCTCTTTATCTCTCTTTTTACATTCGCTTGGGTTTTCTATTAATTTAGTATCATTGGGGATTTTAATAATGTATCTTAATAAACAATTTTTTAATTATGAATTTTCAATGAACATTCCTCTTACATGTGAATTTTATTGTTAATTTTTTTTGCAACTATTTCGTCAGAAAGCTGCAAAATATGGTTGTAAGGATTCAAGCTTAATTCATAATCACCCAATTTGAATGCTATTTCTACTAACAATGCGTATTTGACGCAGCAGACAGCAGTAAATATCACTGCAATTCTTCAACTTATATTGAAGTGTACTCAATTCGATAACTATTGGTAAATCATTATTTATTGAGATAGGCAGTCAGTTGCTAAGACGCGTAAGTCATTAAAAATTTTTGGCAGATCAGAAATTTCCTAATTAGAAAATTCAGACAGACAGACAAAAATGTAAACAAAAGAAAAATTCAAAAAATCAGACACACATTTTACAATTGTTGTAAAGTAAAAGTTGGCATCCAAAAACGCAGCAACCAACTCAAAATCATCGTCAGCTTACATAAGTCAATAGACAGAGTGCGGTAATGACTCAACTGGATATGAACAATCTGAGAATTCCAGAATCAAAGCAATCTTCAATCACAGTTGCAGTGCGAGTTAGACCATTCACCGATAAAGAAACCAATAACTTAATTCAACCAAATGACAACAATTTCTTTCTAGGAGAAGGATCATTAACCAGTGGAGAGACTTCTCCCTCAATCCCATCCAAAAGATCATTATTAACCTCACCAATAGGCCTAAGGAAAATCATCAATGTCGTGGATGAAAAAATGCTAATATTTGATCCACCTGAAACTAATCCAATTGTCAAGATGCAAAGAAATGCGTTTCCTTCTGCTAATGGTTCCAGAATAAGAGAGCATAGATTTGTGTTTGATCGATTGTTTGACGATGATGCTACTCAACAGGATGTATATTGCGGAACTACACGACCTTTGTTAGAAAGTGTTTTAGATGGATATAATGCCACGGTTTTTGCATATGGAGCAACAGGATGTGGGAAAACTCATACCATACTGGGAAATCCTGGGAATCCCGGGGTGATATTTTTAACTATGCAAGAATTATATGAAAGAATTGATGAATTGAGTGATACGAAGATTATTGATGTTAGTTTATCGTATCTTGAAATATATAATGAAACTATTAAAGATTTATTGGATGTAAGTACTGAATCTAGGAAATTGGTAATTAGAGAAGATGTAAATCAAAAAATAACCGTATCTAATTTATCAAGTCATAGACCAAATTCCGTGGAGGAAGTAATGGAACTTATATTACAGGGGAATAAGAATCGAACAACATCTCCAACAGAAGCAAATGTTACATCAAGTAGATCTCATGCAGTATTACAGATCAATATAATTCAAAAAAATAGAACTGGTGATGTTAAAGAAGAACATACATTTGCTACATTATCGATTATAGATTTAGCTGGAAGCGAAAGAGCAGCAGCTACCAAAAATAGAGGGGTTAGATTAAATGAAGGTGCAAATATAAATAAATCATTATTAGCATTAGGTAATTGTATAAATGCACTATGTGACCCAAGAAGAAGAAATCACATCCCATATCGAGATTCTAAATTAACAAGACTATTGAAATTCTCATTAGGTGGGAATTGTAAAACAGTTATGATTGTATGTGTATCACCATCTTCACAACATTACGATGAGACCTTAAACACATTAAAATATGCAAATAGAGCAAAGGAAATTAAGACCAAATTAATTCGCAATCAAACTAATTTGGATCGTCATGTTGGATCATATTTGAAGATGATTACTGAACAACGACAAGAAATTGATGAATTAAGACAGAGAGAGGCAACCATTGCTGAAACCGCCGTCGAAAAATATAGAGCCATGGACCGGGCTGTATATAATTCATTCATGGAAGCTATTAAATCGTTGCGAGCTTCGATTATAAATCATTCTCAAGAGAAATGGAAGCGGGCATTTATTTTGGCAAAAAGAAAACTCTTGATAATTCAAAAAGTTGAAACAGAAGTTATAGAAAATGAATGGAAATTTTTAGAACAATATGATAAAATAAGAGATTCAATAGAATTGAATGCCGTGAAAGATTTAATATCTCAATTACAATCGAAAATAGTTTCACAAATTCCTGAATTAGAATTCCAATATGCTAAACCAAATGGCATAGATCATATTTTGAATGAATCTGCTATGCAGACTTTAAAAAGATTGTCCGAGAATCAAGGATGGTCAGATATGCATACTACCTTATTCAATCAATCCATTCAATCATTGAAAGATGAAGTTGAAAGAGATATATTATTCACTTCTTCAATTCTATATGATGAATTAATTAATCAAACAGGACAATATCATTATGGTATAAGGCAATTAATTAGAGGTTTTGCTGACGACATTGTTCATGAAGATTGGTTAGCGGGGATTGCAACTTGTTTGGAAAAGATGATCCAAGGTGATTTTGATTCTGATATTGAAGAGATAGCTAGTGCATTCATGAAACAGAAACTACATGATCAAGAACAACAACAACAGCAACAGGATGATGTAAATAGTTCTTTCGAGATGGATAGTTCGATAAACAATAGTATGATGATGATTGATCAAGATGAAGATATGCAACTTCCTATCAAAAAAGTTAAATTTGACAATAAACCAACAATCAAAACCACAACATCACCGCCACTGAGAGGAATCTCCAAAAGACTTATGAAAACTCCAATTACAAAACTGTCACCTATTCGAAAACCCAAGAAATCAGTTCGGTGGGATATACCCAAAAGTGATTCATTCATGGATACGAGTATGGAGAATTCAATCAATAGAAGTGATGGCGATATTTCTCCAATAACCACAAATAACATATTGGACCAATTAAATAATGAGGATTTAGCATTTAAATTTGATCCAATATTAAATTCGCCACCTACAAATAATACTACCAAAGGATTTGTGCCTAAGAATAGAAAATTGCTAACGGATTTACGCAGAAATCGAAGCTTACAAACAGGTTCATCATCATCATATACAAATCGAAAATTGGGTTCATTTCTGACACCAGACCAACAACAACAACCGTTGTTAAATACAAGTGCGGCTGCTAAATTAGTTACGAATTTTATCTCAGACGATTGTAATTTATTACCTGATGAAGTGAGGACAGATTCATCAAATATTGCTAATCAGCATTCCCACCATCTTGATGTTGTTCCGTCGCCCACTAGTCCGATAAAAACGGCTTCAAGGTGATTCTGCCGCATTGCCACGAGGCTTTGCTAGTTATTTAGAAGGACGATATTTGCTTTAATTTATATCAGGGGCTTAGGAGAGGGACAACAATGGTGTATTTAATGTAGTTGTTCCTTACTCTTTAGTGCTCAGAGTATGTTGGGCTCTTCTTTTTGGGTGTTTATATATAAATAGGGAAATACATGGAATTTAAAAATAGATTAGTTATACTCCTGTAGGTGCAACAGAACGTGAAACCTTCTCTAAATCCATCAAGTCTGAAGTTTCCTTCGGTAATTCTTACCAATTCCAAATTTGCAACCACATGTTTGAAACGAAAAAAAAAAATAATAATTTCTGCGACTCCACAATTCGGGAAAGATCCCCCCTGAAACCAATTCCAGAAAACTAACTGTTGTCGTTTACATCGTTAAACGGAGAAATTTACATTAGTCCGTTAGAATTCTTGTTATCCATTGTAGAGACACCTCTCGTTTTCATCCAATTGGATGGACTACAATCCTAGTTCTTCTTTTCAGATCCAATAATAATAATAATAACATTTGTATTTTTAATTTAGGTAGAGAAAACTATATACTTTCAAAGTCAAGTCATAATAAAAACGGAAAAAGAGATATTCCAAATGGAATCAGAAAGCCAAAACTAGAAACGAGATCAACTGCATCTCATGTCTTAACGTCTTCCATGAGGACCACCACCATGACGACCTTCATCACGATAATCATCTCTTCTTCCACCCCCATAACCACCACGATCATCTCTTCTACCTCCACCAAAACCATGATCATCTCTTCTACCTCCACCAAAACCATGATCATCTCTTCTACCTCCACCAAAACCATGATCATCTCTTCTACCTCCACCAAAACCATGATCATCTCTTCTACCTCCACCAAAACCATGATCATCTCTTCTGTAATCATCTCTACGTTGATCCTTTCTGTCTTTACGATCATCATAGGCGTCTTCTATTTTATTAGCACCAACAGCACCAATGACACCACCAAGAACAGTACCTAAAGTCCCATGATTGTCTCCACCTAATTTGTTACCGGCAAATCCACCAGCTGCACCACCGGCAAGAGTGGAGAAAAGACCTCTATCTTGTGGGTTTTCGGAGTCTTGGTTGGAATTGTTTCCGGATTCTTTTGGTTTGTATTCACCTTGGTCACCGGATGAGTAGAAATCGTTTGCTGACATTATTGAATGTTAATTGAGTATATTAATTGAATAATTTAATATAAATTGCAAGAAGAAAAAGTGAAATTTAGAAATCTTTTTAACCTTTTTATATTCAATTGGTACCAAAAAAAAGGGGGGCGGTGGGTGTTGGGAAAGGGTGACAGAGAGAAAGAGAAGTGCGTGTGAGATTAGGCTATTATGATTAAACATTACACAAAATCACATAGATCATTTATGTAAACGTGTTTTTTGTCTTGTCTTGTTTTTATTTGAATCATCACTTCTTATTCGTTACTGTACTGCGGTTAATGATCTAATAGACTGACTGAATAAATTGTCATTCAAATTTACTGCCTGAAAAAAAAATAAGGCTTAGAATACTAATCTACAAAATCAAAAAGGAGTGAAAAAGAAAACGAGCCATCTTCTATTTCTTCTGGAAAAGTCCTTTCCCGAAATCGAAAGGTCTTTTTTTTTGTTGGAAATGGTTTGAAGTCTTGACACTATGTATCTCAATCAGAGATACATAACCAACACATCCATCCATCTTTGTGACATGGGTGATGTAATTGCATCAGAAAAGAGGCTCGGTTTCTTAGAAGTGTTCAATTGTTAGATGTGACTCTTGAAACACAATTTTCGTTTGTTTCTAATTTTAAATTTTTTTGATTCAATGACGTAATACTGCATACTACACTTTTTTAATTGTGTTATTCTAATAAGTTACTGATACATACATTGTAGTGAGATACTCGTACAGGAAGTCTTATTACCTTGTTAAGTGATACTTGATACCGGCTGTGGCGGTGTAAGTCAGCTAATATTGAGTCTCTTCAAAGGTGTGATTGTACGTAAATAGTTGCCAAAAATAGACCCTGCAGATCGTCTTGGCAACGATTATTAGAAAGGCTCCAACGTGTCTCTCTCTCCAACTATCCAACTAGCATGCATAATTCTACACATAGCCCCAGATTCTCTTCTAGGAGTCATGTTGATTGATTCATTAAGTAAATATGTGACTAAATCATTAAAATAAGCCACCATGGCAAATGCATTTAATATGAAAAAAGATATAAACAAACTATAAATAAGAAAATTGTCTCTTTCGTATTTTTATAGATAGATGGATATCCATACGTTAATAAACTAAAAGCAAAAAACAAAACTAAAATATAAATCAAATTAATAAACTATAATTAAATAATAATAATAATAATAATAAAAGGTGATTCCCAAATATAATGAAGTATAATAATGAAGTACTAATTACATGATAATACAATCTTTCTCTTGAGCAGCTGTTGAAGTAGTCCCATCAAATTCATTAATCACAGCTGGTCTCTTTTTAACATATTTTTGAATCTTTCTAATGACTTCTTTATCAGTAATTCTACTTAAAGATTTTTCTTCTCCATTTAATGCTGCTTTCTTATACCAAGTTTGAGCTTCATTAACATTCTTAAAACATCCAATTCCCTTTTCATAAAAATTAGCCAATGCAAATTGTGCTTTTGGTAAATTACATGCAGCAGCTCTTTTAGCCCATTCATAAGCTTCAACTTCATCTTTAGGTAAATATGGTTCCGATCCAACAAGATACCAAGCACACATTGCCAACATCGAATTCGGATCCCCACCTAAGGCAGCCTGAGTATAATAATGAATACTAAGATTAGAATCTTGAGGCACAACATCTCCAACTTCATAATGTTGACCTAATATCGCCGCTGATTGAATATGTCCCAATGCAGCCGCTTGAGCATATAATTCCAATGCATATTTTTTATCTTGAATCACAATATCTTCAAATCCATAATAATATAATTTTCCTAATTCATAAGGAGCAGCCGCAATTAATTCACTTGCAACCCCAGTGGCTCTGGTTAACCATTTGATTCCCATTTTTTTCGTATTCATATTATTAGGTAATCCCATCTTGGCATAAAATGAATATACACCCAATTTATACATTGCTGCTGGATGATTCTTAGCAGCGGCGATCTTTAAATATTCAACCGCCTTACGAGCATCTCTACCAGTTCCTAACCCTTCTTCATAACAATATGACGTACGATATGCAGATTCGATATGGCCATGTTTGGCAGCGGCTTGGAATAACATAAATGCTTCCCTGTTTTCAATTTTATCTAATGCTCCGGAACTATATGCGTCACCTAATAGGTATTGAGCTTCGACATACCCTTTATCACTTAATTTCTTGAGATAATGGACTGCTTCTTTCAATAATGCCTTTTTTAATCTCTTATCATCGATTTCCATCTGGGATGCAGTACCATTGACCGCATCGGAAGAAGATTTGGTTTTTTTGGAAGAAGGGTTACCATTGGATCTAAAATCGACTGGTCCTCTTCTTGGTGAATTCTCAATGGGGGATCCAGTGCCTCTAGATTCAGAAGATTGAGACGATGACGTAGTAGGTGTTGGAGTAGGTTCAGCATCTAGTAATAATGCAGTTTGTAACATATATTGAGCATATTGAAACAATACGGCGGGATCATTTGATTTTTTGGCATTTTGACGATATAAATCAATAGTTTTAATTCTAGGGACTAAATGTTCTTTAGCATCTCTACCTAAATATGATTGAATAACATTTTGATTAAAATCAACCATGGATGCATTATCACTTCTATCATAGAAAAATGATGATGTTGAAGATACAGAACGATTATGACCAAATTTATTAAATGAGGGAGCAACTAAACTATTTTCTGATTTTGAAAATGGGGCTTGATCTAATGGAACACTTAAATTGAAATTTGTGACTGATGAAGTGGCTGATATTGGATTTGAATTCGGGGAAGTAACACTTTCTTTAGAAGCAAATACGGGTGGTGGAGTCAGCGATCCATATGCAGGATATGGTGTACTTGAAGTTTGTCTTAATGGAGTTGAATTAGAAGATGGATGACGCGTAGCATGTGGTTGTTGAGGTTGTGTTTGTTGGTATTGACTATATTGGGGTGTTATTGGACCACCAGCAGCAGGATTTGAAGGAACAGCATTAATGGTTTGATTTATAATGACACCGGGGTTATTATCATGGAGTGACATTTGTAATGGTGCTTGCTGTTGTTGGTTGTAGTGTTGTTGGTTGTAGTGTTGCTGGTTGTGTCTTGGTGAATGTTGTTGAGTTGGAGAAAAATATAAATCTTCCATTCCAGAAGTTACTTCATCAACATATTTATTTGTTTGAATATAATTTGGTTGATTATCATAAATTTGAGGCTGAGATTCAGTAGGAGTTTGAACTTCTTCTACTGGATATGGAACAGTACTAGTATTATTATTATTGGATAGTTGAGAACGATAAGGATGTGAAGTCATATTTGGATCGATGGGTCGTGGCTGTGATATTATTATTATCAGTACGATGAATCAGATTGGTATCAATAAAAAGCGAATGGTCTATTAATAGGTTCTCTCTCTCTCTTGTGGTGGGAAAGTTCAATAGAAAAGGAACGTGTAAAAATTTTTTAAAAATTTTGTTGTTATACGAAAAACGTCTAAAGATTTATTTTTAAAATCTTTTTCAAGGGTGGCTGTCTATAATTATTTGTCTGTCTGTTTCTCTTTCAGTTGGAGATCAGGTGTAATGTTTCTCTTCTCAGTATACGAAAAGTAGTAAGTTGCAACTGATAGATTAGTTAGTTTGTTGGTTAGGTTGTAGTGGTGTCGAAAAAAAGGAGCAAGACAAAGGGAGAGAAATAGAGAAAACAAGGTTCAGACAGTTCAGACAGAAAAGTGTGTAAGATTTTTTTTTTTTTTCTGTTGGAATTCTTTAATTAAAATAAATTTATTTTTAATTGTTTGTTTGTTGGTGAAAGTAAAAAAAATTTTTCCTCCGTTATATTAAAAAATAAAATATTTTTTACAATGAAAATGTAAAACAAAAAATATCAAAAAAAAAGCTGTAAAATTCAGAAACTTCTAAATTTAGAAGGATCATAGATACTATATTAAAGATACATTTGATGCCACAATATCTTATAAAGTGATATCAAGATCTAATAAGTTACCGCAGACCACGGCAAAGAGACAACTACCAAAATGCCTGATTTTTCAAACAGTAAATCGAAAATTCAGTTTCTATTCCACTTATGTAATTAGTCAGATGCCAAAAGTGGTAAAATAAAAATTAGAATTGTCCACCGTCGTCCAATGCAAGGTAGTGTATATACAAAAATCAATTATAAATTATAACTAAATTTACATGTTGAAGAAAATAATACGGCGGAGTAAATCTGTTACTTGAAGACGCATTTTTCATATTTCATCCCTTGAAATCTGATGAGCATCCTTTTGTTTGTTTGAAACAAAAAAAATGAAAATCCTTACAAAAAGAACAAAGTAGCATATTTGAATGTGGGAAATTTTGTTTAAGGTACTGAACCCTATTGTATGAGGAGTGAGTGCGTGGGTCGTGGGTGAAATTCTCGTGTTTTAAGATTTTGGTAGGCGAATTAAACAATTGAATATAAAATAGACAATAGAATTCTGCATTTTTGATTTAAATTTATTTTAAAAAATTCAATTTTTTGGTGGGTGTTGTAAAATAATTTTAATTTTTTTTTTTTTTTAAATTTTGGTTACGTACACGATTTGTACGTGTAATTTAATTTAGTTGCAAAATCAACTGCCTATTAAATCATCGTGTAAAGAATACACCAATTACTATAGAATGTTTCTTGTCGATGAATAATCAATTATCTTAGTACTACGATGTACACATAGTTGTCAAATGTAAAATGAGTTTATTTTTCTACAGTAGATGAAACTGTGTCTCTTCTTAAAAAGGGTTTGGAATTTAATGCAAGCAATTAATTAACTTGTTTTTAATCAGGGCTTTTTACCTTTAATACAATTGATTGATTGTTAGATTGAGATTGCAACCGTTTAAGTTTTGATAGATTCAATCTCTCAGATACAAACAAACTTTTCTAATCCTGATTTGTATAACTTTATTCCGTTCTCGTTTGTTAACCTTTATTTAAACTGACACTTCGCATTAACTAGCTTAACAACATAGGTACTGTGCTGCGACTGGTCCAGCTCCACTACTTCTTTGAGACAATAGAAAACATATGATCTACGAAACAAAAACATTAAGGGAATGCAAATCAATGTCATATTACATGTCTTGACGTCGTTTAATTTCCGATTAATTCCTTCTGTTTTGTTACATAAAGATCTCTTGGCAAATACACTGAAACATTTCAAACAGTACAATAGTACGAGGTGTGTGAACTTGTTAGACGAAGAGTACTAGTCAGAAGATGTCTACATGAAATATCACAATAAATTATATGAACATTACAATATTAATAAAATATGATAGAAAGAGTACTAGTTTCCCGCAACCTTATAGCATAGATGACTTGGATAATCTAGGAATTGTCAAGTGTTAACCCCTTTTAATAATGCTACAATAAACAGCAATCAATGCAGCTACACATACACCAAAAATAGTTAAACCAGATAATTTATCAGTTCCATCAATTAATGCCAATTTTTCTTCCTGCACCAACAATCTTGCTCTATCTTCAGGATCCAACAATTCCAACTTGGTTCTATCTATTGGTTTATCTTTATCATCATCATCCGCAAGTAATTTTCTTTTCCGTTCCTGTTCTTCCAATTCCAATTGTTTCAATCTATCAATATCTAATTTATTCTTCATCACAATCTCAGGAAATTGTTTTATAAATCTTTGATTTTCATTATTATTCCAATTTTTACTATCTTTTGCCAATCTCTTCTTAACATTCTCACTAGTATTAATCGATCCTGTCGTAGTTTCATCCCCAGTCATAAAACTCAACAATCCCGTCAAGATCGTCGCTACACTCCACGCAGGATTCCAAGTATCAGGATGATAATCACTCATACTTAGACATAATCTCGTATTTGTCGCAAATCTTCCATTTGGGGTGATCATTGATATTGAAGGCGGTTTGAAGGGATATTCACTGGGGAATCGTAATATACCATGATATTGACCTCCTGTAAAAGGGGTGTTTGGTGGTCCATCTATTACATAATGCCATTCTAAGATGTTTTCATCATTTGGTTTGGCGGTGATATATGGTGGCGGATTGGTTTGGATTGATTTATATTCTTTTGTTAATCTTTTTTGTGATTGTCTGGATGCCATGGGAAGTACTTGTTTATTTATAATATTCTAAATTCTTGTATGAAACGGAGGGTTTAGGTCTATAAAGGATATATTTGTAAAATGTACCTGTTTAAAATTAAATCGGGATTAGCGGCTAGAACTTATTGGTGGGTTAATTAAGTTCTTTATCAGGAAAAACAGGTGTCTTCTTTTCCAAGAGGTGATTATGCATCAGAAGAAACCGGAAGAAGAAGGCCAAAAAAAAAAAAAGAAACTGACATTTTTTGAACATGATCGCACGACTGTTGGGACAACTATGGAGTATTTTTGGTTATCAGAATCCAATGATTCTTTTACTAAGATAATTGGAATTTTAGAAGTTGGTAAGTCACTGTAAATGCTATTACTTGAAAATACACGTTTCTCTCTAAAATAGATGATGTCATTAAGATGATTGATAACCCAACGGTTTACATAAATTTTGCAACCATGGAAAAAAAATAGGGGGGGAAAGTTTTGTTGGGGGGAATTGCTGCGAAAAGATAATAGAGTTGGATTTCACTGGCAAGTACTTTACAATATGAACCCCATAATCTCAAAGAAATCATTTACTTGAAATTGGTATCAGTAGATACGTAGTTCAGATGTTACAACTTTCTATAGGGTTAGAAATTAGACCTATTAGAGTCAGCGTTGCATTCGAATACAAGAGAAGACATGTAAACGACAGATAGGAACAAGCTTGCTTCTTAATATGCACACCACGTTTACTATATTTCAAATAACTAACTACTGTACCTATTCCACTGCAGAACATGGCATCCTCTTTCATACCTCAATTCATATAACCACACGGCCTTGTAAAGAAGCAAATATAGTTCACTTCTTTTGACCTGCTGCATAAACAATACTACATTCAATCAAATATCCAGTCTCATCATTACCAATATCCTTACTTTCCAACTCACCAGCTTGCATCTTTTTAATCACCGCTTCTGGCGAATGAAACTTAATAAATATATCTTCTTGCCAAATATAAGTTCTAAACTGTCTAGCACTACTAACATTCTCCAACCCTGCAATATTACTCAAAGTATGATTCAACTTCGAAAGTTTCAATCCTCCCATATGTCTAACTGCAGGACATTCAAGATTTGGTGTTGGTGAATCGACATCTTCATTATAGAGATCGATTATAAATAACCATCCTTGGGGTTTTAAGAATGTGGCTAATTTTTTGGTAACGAGTTCATAATTGTCAATATGATGATATGCTAATGTACATATAATCAAATCAAATCGATTTTCAAATTTTGTTGATAATTCCAGTTGAACAGATTCATCCAATAGATCATATTGATATGATTTGAATTCCAATTTGTCGGAATTGTATTTGTCAGCTTTTAGATCGAATTGTTTAAGAAATGCAGGATTGATATCCATTCCAATTAATTCACTTGATTTTTCTTCATCGGTTAGATAAGGAACAAACATTTCTGTAACTGAACCTGTACCACATGCAAAATCCAACATTTTAATTCCGGGCTTAATAATACTATTTGGAAATCGGGTTAAATATGTCTTTGGATCAGGCAAATCCTTTTCCACTGATAAACCATTACTTTGAATATATGGATCGCCTATAACATGTTCCGTTTCGGCCAATGATTTACGATTAGTTGGATTTTTGAAATCGTATTCAAGAAGATATTTGGAAAATAAGATGGAAAAGATGGTTTGTGATTCATAATGATCATATTTCTTGGCGAATCCTTCGTTGAACATTTTGAGATTGGCCTTGATGGCTTCTTGATGGGAGTCTTGATTGAATTCTGTCATTGTCGCTTGGGAATGAAGATTTAGATGTATATCAATGGTTGAGATTGAAAAGAAGAAGACGATGATTAAGGAGATGATTTTTTTTTCAACATTTCCGTGGGGCTGCAAAAAAAAATAACTGCAAAAAAGGTAACCATTTACGAGATCTATAGATATAAAGATTTATGAATCAGAAAAACGTACAGTGTGTAGACTGTTAATATCAATAACTGTTACATGAGATGTAAGAACAAGAAATGTAATTTCTTAGGCTCTCCAGGGCACGTTTATTTCTGACCTATTCTACTATTGATTTACTATCAAAAGATATAATTTATAGGACGTCAAACTAATGGCTTCTTTTGACCAACAGCATAAATGATACTACACTCAACCAAATACCCCGTCTTCCTCCCAAGAATACTCTTCTCAGGCAATTCCCCCTTCTCCATCTTCTTAACCGTTTTTTCATTCAAATGATTCCTAATAAAATCTTCAATCTGCCACAAAGGAGTCCTAAATTCACAAGCACTACTCACATTAATCAACCCCGCAATATCACCCAAAGTATGATTCAATGCATCAATCTTTAAACCTCCCATATGAGCCACAGAAGGATTGTTGGGGTTTGCATTGGGGTCTTCGACATCTTCATTATAGAAATCTACAATGAATAACCAACCGCCTGGTTTTAAGAAGGTAGCGAGTTTTTTGGTTACCATTTGATAATTATCAATATGATGATATGAAATCGTACATATGATAGCATCGAATTTATTCTCAAATTGTTTGAGTTGTTGTTGAATTTGGGGATCTTGGGAGATGATATCATATTGATAGGAATTGAAATCCAATTTATCATTTTTTAATTTTTCAACTCGTTGATCGAAATGTTGAAGAAACACGGGACTAATATCCATACCGACAATTTCGGATGGTGTTTGGCCAATTAAATAAGGGGCGAATAATTGTGTCACCAATCCTGGTCCACATGCGAAATCTAATAATTTCATTCCTGGTTTGAAGACGGTGTTGGGGAAATTAGATAAATAGGTTGTTGGATCAGGTAAAGTGTTTTGAACAGTTAATCCATTAGTTTCTAAATTTGGATCTCCAATTGGGATTTTTGTTTCCTCGGCAGATTTTCTTTTGGTAGGATTGGCGAAATCATACTCAAGGATATATTTGGTGAATAAGAGTGATAAGGTCCTTTGTGAATCTAATTGTTCATAAGTTTGAGCAAATTCTTCATTGAATTGTGCGATATTGGCAGCAATAGAATCTTCATGAGTCATGGTTTTGGCATGCTTGGAATGATCATGGGTGGAATGATCATGGGTGGAAAGTTCTTGAGATGGAGTCATATTTTGATGATATCAATTGGATACTTTATAAAGAGAAGTGTTGTTGAAATAAATCAAACATTTTCAATATACATTTTGGGCCCTTTAAATATTGAGTAAATCCCGCTTTTTTTCTCTACCTTTACCCCATTATTTACAATTCCGCTTCCCAAATCTCCGATCGGCACCTATGGCCAATTTAAGTCATAGTATGGTCAATATCTATTCTCTCCTTATCCTGCCTTCCGGTCTATGTCGGTCTATACGGCTTTTGGGTTAGTCCCGGAGATCTTCATATCATACACATGCTTAGGTTTGTCCTGCTAGAACTAATTAAAAGAAACCAAACACCCGCTCATAGCGGGCTTTGAGAATTTTCGTCACAAAATGAATACAATGGGCAATTCTTGGCGGGTAATATGGAGCGGATATTAGATACAGTTCTATAATATTTTCAATTCCTCTAGGTGACTTCGTGCCGTGTGGAGAAAGAGATGGTTATAGACGGATTGCTATAGACTATTATGCCTCCTTACTAAGCATTCTAGAGAAATTGGGAGATAAAAGACAACCAACACGTAATTCTACTCTAATTGTCTCTTGCTGTAAGCTAAACTAAAATGGTTGAATCTGTTATCATTAAATTGAAATAAAGTAAAAATTGTGAAACTGTAATAAACCTAAGTCAGGTTGTGAATAATACGTATGTATATTCTGAGTAAACGTCTGAACATAAACTAGAGAGAAAAGTATAGAAAAGAATCCTATAAATCTCAACGATCGTCTAATAAAGAACGTCGCTGGAAAACTCTTCTCATCGGAAAGGACACGACCATGAGGGCACGTGACCTACCCGTTACAGAAACTGTATATTATATAAGAAAAGAAAACAGTCTTTTTTAAATTAACAAAATAAAAATGTAATAAACATATATAATGTATAATAATAATTAATGACAAAATTATAAAAGCGACTTGTATACTATTAAATTAAAAAACCGAAATAAAATTTAAACAAACAAAACTGGTGGTGGTGATGCACAGACTCAAACAATAAATATAAAAAAAAATGGATGTATCAATTGAAATTCTATTTACAACATAACTTAGCCCAGAATCCTTTTTGACTCTCAGCCTCGTCAATCATTTGTTGTTGATGATATTGATTTTGCATATTATTATTATTGTTAGTATTATATCCTTCATATTTCACTGGATTGGTCATATGATTCAACATATCATTCTGGCCATCATTACCTTGATTATCTTGTTTGATTGGAGGTAATGGTCTATTAACCAAAGTTTGTAATTTCTGTTGATGTAATTGTGCAGCCGACAATTGTTGTGCTTGTTGCTGTGCTTGTTGTTGTTGCTGTTGTTGTAATTGTTGATGTTGTAATTGTTGTTGAGTTTGTCTATTTCTTCTTTGATCACGATGTCTTCTATCACGTTCATTAGGTGGGTTTGGATGTCCATAACCATGTAAATTAGGTTTTTTATTAATGGATGCATCCCAACCTCTACCTCCATTAAGATGCATCCAATCATAATCTCCATCACATGATTGGCCAAAATCATCCAATACTGATAATAATAACATTCTATATTCTTCATAATCAGGTTCGGCATCAAATGGTAATGATCTAACATTATCTAAATATTCGGCAAATTGTGGAGGTAATCCTTCACAAAGTGTAACTGCAGGTGTTGTTCTTTTCTTGTCACCAATTTTTTCATATTTTTGTTTATTAGTAGGAGCTTTTAAACCTTGCCATGGTAATTGACCTCTTAAGAAATAAAAAAATACATGCCCTAAAGCTTCTAAATCATCTCTTCTTGATTGTTCTCTACCTAGATGAGTATTAATTGACATATAACGAGCAGTACCACTCAATGATTTCTTTTCTCTATATGGAATATGTTGTTTTGTTCTGGGATCACGATATTGTTTTGCCATTCCAAAATCAATTAAATGAACATGATTTTCATCGGGTAATCCTTGACGACCAATTAAGAAATTATCAGGTTTAATATCTCTATAAATTAAATCATGACGATGTACTTCTTCAACAAGGGATAACATTTGAATTGCAACTTGAACCACGGTTTTAACACTAAATCTTCTACCACACCAATCAAATAAATCTTCCAACGAGGGTCCTAATAAATCAATAACTAAAATATTATGTAATCCTTCTTGACCAAAATAATATGCATTTGGAATTCCTTCACAACCTTGTAAATGTTTATAAGTTCTATATTCATCTCTTAATTGAGGAGCTTCAGTTTTTCTTGGTTCAAATTTAATTGCTACTGGTACACCATTTATTATATTAGTACCTTCAAATATAACACCAAAAGAACCTTCACCAATTTTCTTACCAATTTTATAATGTAATCCAACTACTGAAGAATTATTGGAACCAGATTGAGAATTTGATGACACAACATTAGTTCCAGGAATCATTGTCCCTTGTTGTCCTGTATGATGATGATGACCACCGGTTGATGTTCCGTTATTCATGACGTTATTCATTTTAATTGCAGTTGAAGATAATGGATTATGTGAAGCTTGAGCGGCTGCTATAGCGGCAGGATTATTAGATGAATATTGATGACGGGACATGCAAAGAAAGTTGGGTGGGGTAGTGGTGAATGAAAATGATTCTCAACAAAAAACAAAAATAGATTTGTGGAAAATCAAATTGGGAATTTATTTTAGTGGGAAATGGAAAAATACAAACAACAACAATTAAAGACGAAGTGTATGTGTATCTATCTTAATGGAGATGACGAAAGACTAATGAATGGGGTCTATAGTTTTGTCAATGTGAAATGTGAATTGTATTTGGATGATTAAAAGGGGGGGAAAGTTATGGTCCGTTGAGTTGAATTGTTTAGCTGTAAGACACGAAGGTAGTTAAGTAGTGTATGAACAAGGGATTGATTAATGATTGATAGCTTGATATTCCAATTTATTCAAAACAAATGACAATAATGAAAATTGATTGCTTTTTAATTATATGAATCTTCTTCTTCCTTTCTGTATTTATGTTGGAGAAAGGAAAGAAAGAAACAGAAGTGAGAAAAAAAAGACGAATTAAAAGGAAATAGAGATTTGTATGTGGTTTTTTTTTTTTGGTTTTTTCGTTGGAAATCTTTCTTTTTTTTTTGTGGTTTTGTCTTTTGTCTCTATTGACTGGTCTTTTTTAAATTTCTGATTTTTCTTTTTTTTTTAAAAAAAAAATTTCTTTTTTTGTCTCGATAAAGTTGATTTTTTAATGTTTAATTAATTAATCAGTCAATAATTAAATCTATTTGAATGCTTACAAATTAACATACAATAATGAACATAATTTATACTTGAAAGCTTCATGTCAAGTATACTTTCTTAGAAGAGTCATCTATATATATATATACGACTATATACTCAATACGCGTTTATTTCTGTCTTTCTGTTTGCCGAAGGTATGTTTAAGATCTGGCAAAAATTTGATGATTTTGTGTAATATCATGTTGTAAGTTGTTAGTTACTGTCACCTAATCAGATATCTATCTTAATGTAAAAGAAGTCTACTTAAACGAAAAGAAAGAAAGCTACCCTGATTAGCATACAAGCCACCACAAGTACCAGTCCTGAAATTGACAAGTAACACGTCTATATATGTTATATGCCACAGAAAGAACATAAACACTTTTTGGTTGTCGTGTGTTATATTCTCTCGTTTGATCTTTCGGGCGTTTCTTCGCTTCATTCTCATATTTTTTTTTTTTAATCTTTGGCGTCCCAGAAATTAAACGACCACCTCCCAGTCCCCTAGAATGATACATTCACAACCCATAAGGTTGTAAACTTGCGACATGTTCTTTGAAAGGGCTTAATTAATTACATGTGTTTTTTTATAATTGGGTTATAACTTTTGTTTGAAAATGTGTAAAACCATCCATTCCTATGAAGCCAATGACATAATGTCTTCTTCTATTGCTTACCCCAGGGCTACTCTATCCTTTCCGTTGCTAGATCTCTTTGGCTATGTGTATTATTCTTTGATATTGAGCATGGAATTGCTTTTAATGCCGAGCCAATTATTTAAGTGCAATTATGAGATCCTTCGATTTTTTAATAGACGAAAATTAGGTGGGGCAGTGCCAATAATATCCCGCCCCCCCGCATATTTTTTATTAAGTCGCGAGATATTTCGAATTCTATAAAAATCAATACAAATATTGCAGCACGTGTCGACTTTGGTTGGTATTCACACTGGTTTATCTTGTTAAAGGGGTGGATGTATCTACTTATTAATATCCCTATATTGTTGACTTACAATCTTATCTTCGAAAATTTTAGTGGCTTCTGCATTCGTAGATTACTATGCAAAAATTTCTCCAAATGTTTTGGCTGCAATAAAAAATCTTACAAGGTTGGCCATCTCTTTCTTCCCATACAGACAAGGTCCAATAATAATACATTTCATTTCGTAAAAAGGTATACACATTAACTAAGAGGGATTCCTACAAATATTATAATCCTTCAAGTAAATAACACTCACACATCACTTATCAAGATAGGTAAATTGTGGTTTAGATAAAATCAAATCTTCAACTTCTTCATCCATCATTTGAGAAATCCTAGAATAACTTGGATGTCTTCTAATCATCTTACTCCAATTAGCTAAATTTGGATATAATTTCTTTAAATCTCGTTTATCATGAAGAATCTCAGCCGCTCCATCTAAATTATCAAATACATTCTCATATATAGGATACGTTAAAATGACATCAGCAGCAGTTAATTTAGAACCAACAAAATATCCAGTTCCATTCTCTTTCAATAAATCATCCAAATATTGCATATATAATCTCCATTCATGAATATAATATCCATTATTCAAAAACTTCGTAATCATTTTTGTCATTTTTTGGAAACCAAATGGGGCAACATGTTTTGCAACCGAATTTACCAATAATGAAATTTGTAAATTTTGAAAAGATCCTTCAGCAAAATGTAAAAAATAATCAACTTGTAATTGTTCATTGGGATCTAATGGTGTTAGAATATATTTTGGATCATAATTACGTAATAAATATTGCATTATATGTCCAGTTTCCGCCAATTTTATGGGGGGTCTTCCATCACCGAAAATTACCTCTAGGATGGGGGCTTTGCCCGTCGGATGGACGTCAAAAAGTGCTAATGGACCTCTCCATGTTTCTGGATGACGGAGATATATCTTGACTTCATAATCTAGTTCGAGGAGATCAAGCATCCAGAGAACCCGATGTGAACGAGACTCATCTAGCCTAAAAAGGAGTTGTTAGTTCTTTTGGTTCTTCATAGAGAGAGATTAAAACAGGTTTGGAACTTACCAATGAAGTATGAAACGATCTGGAGGTGTATTAATCATAATTAAAATTGAAGAAGTTTAAAAAAATGTTTAACTGAATAAAATTCACAAGATAAAGGGAAGTTTAAGATCATTTTATAGTCTGGCGATGGACCCCACATACCCCCTTAGACAAAAGTTCCTAATTTAGAAAAGTAGATTTTAATAATTAAATGACAGTATTGTTTAATATTTAAGTGCCGATAAAACAGTGGAAAGTGCACAGAATCCATTGACTTCCTAATTAGGAAATTAGAATTTTTGGACCGACAAATTAGGAAACTAGATAAACTATGAACAAAGGCTAAGTTACCAAACAACAAAGAGCAATACTCAACAAACACTTAATCACAACCGAGAACTATCTTCATATTCTTTAGTCATATTCTTAACTTTTACAAGCTTGGGTTCATTCTTAATAACCTCACACCATTTTTTCAACTGTGGCCAACTTGCCATCTCATCCTTACTACAAACACTTGAAATACCACTCTTATCGGAGAAGAAGCTCGTACATACCGGAAACGACAACATAATATCCGCCGCCGATAATTTCTTCCCCACGAAATAGTCACTACCCACTTCATTCTGTTTCTTTAAAGTATCTTCCAAAAAATTGAGATTCTTGATTAATTCAGGCTTATAATATGCGTTATTCATCGCATCTACGACTAATCCAACTAGGAACCTAGTTCCAAAGGGTGCCTTTGTCTTAGCGTAATGATTGAGCAATAATGATACCATTACTGGTTGTAATGTCCCTTCTGAATAATTAAGAAAATAATTCATCTGAAGTCTTTCATCCCCATCAATTGGGATAAGTTTATTAGTAGTATCGTATTTTTCCAAAATATAATTGGCAATATTTACTGATTCAGCAATTATTTTAGAATCATTAGATAAAGGACTTGGAACTTCAAGTAAGGGGGATTTACCTAATGGATGAAGTTTGAATAGTTCTGGAGGGGATCGGAAGTGAGAGTCTCGTTTATAGGCTTTTAATATATAGGGGACTTGCAATTCTTCTAATAACCATGCAATTCTAGTTGCTCGGGAGTAGTTTAACCTGGAATGAGGTTAGTTGGAGGATTCAAGAGAGAATAGGGAATTGGATTGGACATACCAATGAAGAATAACTTTGTTTTCGGACATAATTGAGGGTGATGGTTTAGAGGAGAAACTGGGGGTCAGGAAAAATGAATAATTTTGTAACTCTTTATATAATTTTGAGTTGCGGCCTTTGAAAAATTGCAACCAAAAATAAATTTGTTACAAATTTGAATTTATTTATAGTACAGACAGCAATCATAAAACAATTTGTATTAGTTCTAAACATAGAAGATGTAGATATCAATTGTATCAATTAGTAACAAAAGGTTTACAGAGGACTACAATCTTGAAGACGAAGCTGGAATACTTTCATATTCTTCAACTCTTTTCGCAGCCAACTTCCACCCATTTTCTTTCATAACATGACTGAGCCATTGATATAAATGGGGATAAACAACTTTTGTCTCTTCTCCCAAATACAGTCTCAAGAAATGAGTTACATAAAACTCATAATAAATAGGGAATGACAAAATTAAATCAGCGGCAGTTAATTTATCCCCCACGAAATAATCCCGATTTTTTTCATGTTGTTCTTTTAAAATCAATTCTAAATAATCAAAATTCCTTTTCATTTCAAGATCCCAATAATTATGATTAATCTTGGTGAGTAGTGCCTTCATTAATGGTCTGATGGGTAATGGTGGTTTGGATTTGGATACTTCATTAACAACAAGTGCAGTCAGCATGGGTTGGATACTTCCTTCAGTATAATGTAAGAAATATTTAACCAATTCTTGATCTTCCGGGGCTGTTGGTGTTAATTTATTTTCCTTATCATAATGTTCAAGCAAATATTGGAAAATATAACCACTTTCAGCTAATTTCAAAGATGTACCATCATCATTGATAATTTCTAAAATTGGGGATTTTCCAAGTGGATGAAGATCGGTGAGTTCTTTGGGTGCTCGTAAATTCTCATCACGTTTATAAAATTTGAGTTCATAATCAAGATTCAATTCTTCTAAGAGCCAGACTACTCTTTGTGCTCTTGATCTGTTTAACCAATGTAATACAAATTTTGCTTTAGTCATTGATGTGAGTTTGGTGTTTGTATATGATATGAATTGTCACCCAAGCAGGGTGATTCGGGAGTGGTTTTATACTAGTCTCGGTAGGGTCTTACCCCACCGGGGTTATACAAACGGATTTAATCTTTATCTCCGTCGAGTTATAATCACAGGATTCAATTTTCTTTAGGTGGTTTGGTATTTACTTCCAGCCGTTCCACGTTGTAATCGAGACCGAGCAATGCGGAGATATTGTTTTTAACAATGAGGCTGTGAGATAGGCATACGGAGGTAGTTTGCGGAATAGGAATTAATTATTAACACCGCGACACCAACTTTTCTTCTCGAACTTTCTAAACAAAGCTATGCACAAAGCATCAACCTCTTTCCTTTCAAGTAACAATTGCTTCAATTCGGAGTTGATTAAACCTGGCTATGCTCCAAGCTAGGGAAGGTATTGTTGACAGGAAATTTCCACCAGTCTTATCAGCACGTGATTCTGGGCCTCATCGCACACCAGAATTTTTTTTTTTCAGCCTATTAATTTTTCTTTTCATTGAAGACTCAAGAAGGAATCAAATACGCTGTACGAAGACAACTAGATATAATGCCAGAATCCAAGAGAATCCAAGCAGTAGTCCTTGATGCGGGTCCTCTCATTACCCAAACTGCATCAAATTTACAACAATATGCCGATGAATTTTATACCACCCCAGGAGTTCATGGTGAATTAAAGGATGAACATTCAAGACAACAATTATTATTATGGGGCAATAAATTAAAAATAAGACATCCTAAAGCAGAGTTCATTCAAAAGGTTATAAGTTTTTCTAAATTGACTGGTGATTATCAGGTTTTGTCTGTGAATGATTTGCATATTATTGCACTTTCTTATGAATTGGAATGTGAATTAAATGATGGTGATTGGAGGTTGAGAAAATTTCTTGGTCAAAAATTGGAATTCTTGAAATCGAAGAACGGAGAAGAAAGTAAAGATAAAGATGTTGCGCAAGATGGGGGAAGTGGGGATTCCGGCAGTCAACAGGTTGATACTGTGGTTGTTGAAAGTGCTCCAACTAAGAAACCACGTCGTAGAGGGGGGAAGAGACAAAGAGAAAAGAGAGAAGCTGAATTAAAGAGACTCTTAGAAGAGCAAGGAAACCATAACCAAGAGGAAGCAGAAGCTATAGAAGAAGTTAAAGAAGAAGTAAAAGAAGATGTGGATAACAAGCCAATCGAAGAGCAACCCGAAGAAGAAGTTCTAGTTCCAGTGAAAGAAGATGAAAACGCAGTTTCATTAGAAGAGGAATATGATGAAGACGACGATGATGGTGATTGGATAACACCTGAAAACTTACAAGAAGAAATGTTAAAGGATACCAATGAAGAAATTCAAGAAAGTAACAAAACTGGACCATTTATTAAAATTGCTTTAGCAACCGGAGATTTCGCATGTCAGAATGTAGCAATGCAAATTGGTCTTAATCTTTTGAATGCAATGTCAGGTAAACAAATCAAAAGGGTTCGTAATTATATGTATAGATGTCATGCATGTTTCCGTTTAACTCCAATGTCAAAAGAGGGTAAACCAAAACATTTCTGTCCAAAATGTGGTGGAAACACATTACTTAGATGTGCAGTTTCAGTTGATAATGTCACGGGTAGAATTACTCCTCATCTTAAGGCTAATTTCCAATGGCATAAGAGAGGTCAAAAGTTTACTTTACCATCTCCATTAAGTAAGAATCAACAAAGATTACAAGGAAATGCTGGATATCAACATAATAAACAAAGTCGTCATAAATCCTTACAAGATCCATTGATTTTGAGAGAAGATCAAAAGGAATATCAACAAGCTGTTAAGGATGATGATTGGCAAAGAAGACAGAATGAAAAGATTCTTCAAGAATGGATTGGAGGTGGAAGTGCTGATAATTTCATTTCTCCATTCAGTTCTGTTAATACGATTAGACACTCTGGGGTTAAAGTGGGTAGAGGAAGATATGTTAACTCTTCTAAGGGAAAGAGAAAGTAAGCAATTGTATAGTAGCAGTAGCGCATGTATAGTAAATTATAAATAGATTTTTAAACAATAGAATTGACAGTATTTTTTTTTCTCTTGTGTCAAATCTGTAAGAAACAAAAATGTGTTTTCAATTTGAGGCTATAAACGAGATTTCATTTCTCTCTCTATCTATCCATCTCTCTCTTTTCTTTTATAGACATAGCTTAGTACCAATAAATCAATGTCAAGTAGTGCGGCTGCTAATGCAGCTGCTCTTGCAGCATTTAATGCCATAGGACGGAAAAACTCCGAAGCTGAACAACAGAATACTTCCACCTTTACATTACCTAAACCTACAAGAGTAGTGTCTCACAAGAAACCAACTAGAAAAGAATCACACGCATCACTTCAAGTAGTTATACCAAAACCAAGAATGGGGAGTCAAGATTCTCGAAGTTTGCACACACCTACTGACATTTCTCCCTTAGCTAGAACTCCCAAACCCAGCCCCAGGATTCTTACCAATTCAAATGGAGACAATGATCGATCAGTAGATTACTTTTCAGAAATACATAAAATGGGACAACCGAGGCGACAGTCTCAGACACCTCAAGAAGTGATTAAGAATTTAAAACAATCAATTGAATCAAAAGCAATTGTGAATACGCCGGATTTGAAACGATTATCAACCGATTATGCACCTAAGGAAATGATAAAAAATTTGAAAGATTCAATCAATCAAAAGGTAAAGGTTTCACAGGCATCTCAGGCCACTGCATATGAAAAAAGTCCCAAAGGTCAAGCAATATTAAATGATATGAGAGATAGAATTGAGTCCAGAATGAAAGCAGTTTCTGGAAGCATGAATAGTTTGACGTTGACTGAAAAACCGGAACCATTGAGAATTCCTTCAACTGGTAGTACTAGAAGCATGCTTTATGAGCCACTGCTTAATAATTCATATTCATCTTTTGGATCAAGTTATTTGGAAGGACAAGATGATACTTTTACTAGACCTCAAAATGTGGAAGACAAAGAACGTCAAAATTCAACCGGTATTAGTATCGATATAACTCATCATGAAGGCGAGAGTGAGCTTTCTTTACAGGAACCAATTGAAATAGAACGAAGAGTTATCGTAGAGGAATCCAAAGGGAAAGTGAAGAGGAAACCTCCATCAGATCTAATGTATGAAGAGCTGCCGGGGGATCCATTTTACGACATGGAAAGACCCAATAAGGGTAGGTCGACAGATGTCATTTCAAGTGCCTCACTGTACATACAAGAAGAAGACGATGTATATTCAGTCAGTGATGCAGAATCGTATATGTATGACAATCTCCCAGAGCGACCGCTGTTTGACTACAATGGAGAAGGCAACAAATTCCCAAAATTCCCTGATATATCCTCGAAACGAAAGGAGCACAAGAATAAAAAGAAACAGAAAATAAAAGGTGTAGATCATTCTGTCAACTTAATAGAACTGGAAAATGAATCTGATGAAGATATATCCAATATCTATAGGCAATCCAATACAAGTCTTGTTCAACAGCCTGTTCAATTCCGGACTACCATGAGAAAGAACAAGAAAAAGGACAAGAAAACAAGTTTTAATGAAAATAAACCTTGGAAAAACCATAGTGATTTGAACTTTCCAAATGAACAAGAGCGAAAGCGTTATGAAGGACTCTGGGCTAGTAATAAAGGGAATTATATGGATTATGTTGTCCACCGTTTACAAGGTGTCGATTATACATCTACTGATGACGTCTCTACTGAGCATGAAGAAGTTTCCAAAATGGCTGCCAAGCTTTCTTCTAATCATCAAGCAAATTTAAAGAATGATGAAGATAATTATCATAATTTGGTAAAAGCAGATTTGAATCAATTAATACACGCTTCTGTAGTGAAACGGATATGGAAGAGAAGTCGATTGCCTCAAGATACACTTGAACAGATTTGGAATTTGGTCGATTTTAGAAAAGATGGAACTCTTAATAAGAATGAATTTTTGGTAGGTATGTGGTTGGTTGATCAATGTTTGTATGGGAGAAAATTACCTAAGAAAGTTGACCAAGTAGTATGGGATAGTCTAGGAGGGATTGGTGTGAATGTAGCTATTAAGAAAAAGAGTAAGCGACTATAAAACTAGAGTGAATATAAATAGATATATCTGTATAACTTTTAATAGAGTGTTTATACAAAGAAGTTGCAATACACTTGATAGCGCTGAAGTTTTTGTAAGTTTATTTTTTTTTCCTGCGCTCAAGACTACTTTAACTTTCTTTCTTCTCTGTCAGTTTCTTCTCTTTTCAACAAGATAACGGTGGTAAACATATAACCCTTAAAGGACAAGAATAGCCAAGATGAATCTTATGGATATGCTTTCGGCGGATCCTCCGTCATCGCTTTATAGTCAACACGTGAATAACATACCCGAATATTATAAAGATGTTGCAGTTTTGAATGATGCAAATATTCCCTCAGAGATTACAGAAAATGAAAATGGAGTATTTTATTTACCGGCACTATTAACCAGATTCCAAAATTCTTTGGTTGACATATTGCTCCATTTATTCAGTTCCGAATTGTTAACCGAAGCAAGAAGTAAACGTATGAGAACTAGTATAGACAGTTTATTAGAATCGTCAGATCTTACCAAAGCCGGGTTGACGTCATACGAGAAGATCTCATTATTATACGAACAACTAATGACAGTGAATAGTAATCCGTCTTTGTTAGTTGATCACTTTATTCCTAAGAATCTTTTATTACTGGAGATAAATGAAAGGCAGATTAACTTATCGGGTAAGTTGCAGCTATTTAATCGAATTGTTGATTGTCTTATTGAAAACACGGAGTATCCTAAGGTGACTAACATGCTCGTTGTTGCGAGAGACATGAAAGAATTAGAATTAATCGAAGGGTTGATTATAGGTAAACGATTGTATTACCAAAACTATAGCAGTGCAAAGTTGTATGATGATAGAAGAGGAATACCCAATTTCCATGAAGACACAAAACTCGATTCTAGGGTTTGTTTAAATTTAATAACATCACTGCAACTTTATAACAAACATTTATCAACAAACTCAACTACCAAGAAGTATGATTTGATATTTTCATTTGATTTCAAACTTGACGTGAGTTCTCCCACCATCGAAATATTACGATCTAACCCAATCAGTTGCCCAGTCTATATTCCAATTCAAATACTCTCAATTGAACACATATCACAACAATTCCCACAACCAAAGCCATCATTAAGTATCGCGAAAGATACTTCACATCCGTTGTATAAGTGGAAAATTAAGATCATAAATGCAATCGTGGTCAATAAGTTCAATATGATGGATATAGATCATGCCAGTTTTTATGTCGATAATTTTGGACCCAACATGAAAGAGTTCACAAGGTGGTTACACCATCCAAAAGAACACAAGGACTTGTTACGAAAATATACCGAGAAATTGGCACTAAATTTTACAGATGATAAATTAATTAAAAAATTAAATATATGTCTTACAGATAGTGTCAATAGAGAGTTTGATCTGCTTGGAGATTTTGATTATAAATCCTATAGAGCTGTATTGGCAGAGTCTCTTCATGCGAAACTAGAACAGTTGCAGGATTCGGTATCCAAAATATATACCGATGTGCTTCCGGCAAAGCGTCGATTTGAGGCATCACGACAGATTCATTATGATGATGATGAGGATTTAATTTCAAGTAGTTATTTTAAGCTTAGAAGATTGAGTGAGGATGCAACCATTGCTGAACGAAAATTATGTAGAATTGAGAATGAGTTGGTTACAGTTGAAGAGAAAGAAACTGATTTAACTACAAAATATGAAAGTTTGGTTGAACACATGAACCATGATCATCTTGATGTTGATATAGAGAAGCAATCTAAGTCACTAGAACAACTTCGGGAAGAATTGTCCACTTTGAAGGAAGAGTTAGAAAGGTTGGATGTGGACAACGAATCAACTAGACAAAAGTATCAAAATAGTTCGGCAACAGCAGTTCAATTATCAGCCAGAGTTCAAAAGGTAAAGAATGCTGAGCAAATAATCAACAGTAAATTGAATGGTCCCGGATTGACTTCTTTACCGGCATTGCTTAGAAAAGATGCGTTACTTAATTATGAATCTCAATTGAACCGTTTGCAACTGCAGAACTTGTTCATGACTTCATTCTTTAATGAAAAGATTGACAAATTATACAGCGAAAGACAGCAATTATTGGAAGGATCTAACGTGGGGTCCAATAGTCGTCCAACTAATAGAGTTAGCAGATCTTCAACGCCACTTTAGTTTTTATAAATGTAAAAGTTATGTATTATATTTAGTATAAATGAATGACACGTGAATCAATTACCTCTACATGAAATAATGGGGCGTCATCAAGTATAATTAGAAATTTCAAGATCTGGAGATTCTGTAAAATCAATATGGTACCACACCAAATCGTGCCTACTTTTTTTTTTTGTGGCAAAAATTTATAAATTTTCAATTCTACTTGACCAATTAGCAGCACATACATATGCTATAACCATTAACAAATGACGAATAGATTTACTCACTTTGGAGAGATATTGGAATTCCCACGGAGTATACCTGAAGTGAAAGCTTTAATAATTGCTCATCTGGAAGAAACGTGCCAAAGAATTTTCCACTATTATTCCGATGGCTCCGCATTAGGTGGATTGTTGTCATTGGCGAGAGACATGCTTGTGGCGTATATCATATACTCAAAGTTTATTCAAATATACAACTTTGTTTGGGGATATGGTGTGATTGGAGCATGTCGACAAACAGTGACAAGTATCTTGACAAAATTATTTGCATTCATCTTAACATTACCTCCAATGAAAAAGAAGGTAGACTCGGAATTAAACTCAACAATCGAAAAGATGGAAGAACATATTATGAAAAATGACGACGACTTGCTTCAATTTTCTACATTACCAGACAAGGGTATTCCTACTGAATTGGTAGAGAATGAGTTGGATAAATTACAAGATTTGAATCATCCAAATTGGAAAACTGGTAGAGTGACAGGAACTGTGTACCATGGAGGTGATGAACTTTTGACACTTCAGTCCAAGGCATATCACAAATATTCAGTTGCAAATCAATTGCACCCTGATGTTTTCCCAGGAGTGCGGAAGATGGAAGCAGAAGTGGTGGCAATGGTTTTGGATATATTCAATGCCCCTGAAACTGGATGTGGATCAACGACCTCGGGTGGGACGGAATCCTTGTTACTTGCTGGATTGGCAGCTAGGGAGTATGCAAGGAAATATCGTGGAATAACTGACCCTGAAGTAATTGCTCCAAATACAATTCATGCAGGTATTGAGAAGGCTTGTTTTTATTTCGGAATGAAACTTCATAAAGTAGATTTAGATCCTATCACTTTCAAAGTTGATGTCTCCAAGGTGAAGAGACTTATAAATAGTAATACTGTATTATTAGTAGGGTCAGCTCCAAATTATCCTCATGGCATTATAGACGACATTGAAGCTCTTTCCAAACTTGCTTTAAAATACAATATTCCACTTCATGTTGATGCATGTTTAGGGTCATTCATTGTCAGCTTCCTTGAACGATCAAAAGTTCATGGTGATAGAAAATTACCCATTTTTGATTTTAGGTTGCCAGGTGTTACCTCCATTTCTTGTGACACCCACAAATATGGATTTGCTCCAAAAGGATCATCAGTCATTATGTACAGGGAATCCAAGTTAAGAGAATGCCAATATTATATTCTGAGCGATTGGACTGGTGGGATGTATGGATCACCAACTTTGGCTGGTTCTCGTCCAGGTGCACTTGTTGTAGGTTGTTTCAGTACTATGATAAATATCGGTAAGGATGGCTATGAACAGTCATGCAGAGAAATTGTCCAAGCAACTATGACTCTCAAGGACGCTTTACATTCTGATCCTACTTTGTCAAAGTACTTGGAAGTACTTGGTGATCCTATTGGTTCGGTCGTTGCATTCAGAGTTAAGAAATCTGAACAAGACCTGATTAATATTTATGAACTTGGCGACTTACTTAATAAAAATGAATGGCATTTTGCTTCGTTACAAAAACCAGCTGCATTGCATTTTGCATTAACTAGGTTGACTGTGCCTGTGATTGGTGAATTGATTAGTGATCTCGTTGATTGTACATTGAAGGCTGTCGAATCTAGAAAGAAGAATTCAAAACCTTCAGGTGATACTGCAGCTATGTATGGGGTTGCTGGAAGTATCCAAACTTCAGGTGTTGCAGATCGTTTGATTGTTGCATTCCTTGATACTTTATATAAAATTTAGATCTCTTGTGATTTCCTAGTTACATAGTTACACAAAACAAAAATTTTATTGGCCTCCTTCCTAATCCGGTAATGACTCATTTAAGCGCGGTAGCGATGTGTTTTTTTCTTTTTGCCTATAAATTCTCGAGATATGGAATTCAAAAGATAGATAACCAATTTTTTTGCCTCTTTTACTTAAGTTATAGATTTTAAAGTTATTCACAAATATATACATACCATGGTAGCGTGTTCAGACATATCCTTCATATCAAGCACATTCAGTTTCATATCTTGCACAAGTTGGGCTTTTGCAGCTCTCCCGCAAATCATTACAAATTATAAAAACAAAACAGCTGATGGTATATCACCGAGTTTTCTTTTATTGTGGTTTTTAGGAGACTTCTTGAGTTTCACCAGTTGTCTATTGAATGAATCAATTCTAGGCTTTCAAATATATTTAAGCATATTTTTCCTATGTAATGATATGACTTTATGTTTTCAATATTATTATTACAATAGTTTGTATCCAAAATCCCACCACCCCACCTACGTTGAATTATTAAACAAAGAAATAACCACTAGCGTTGGTTCAAGCACTCAAGATGTTTCCATCTATACTAGTAAACCATTACATATACGTCATTCCCGCATGACCCAAAGCCTTTCGGAAGAATCCGTGTTGTCATCTACACCAAGTAGTTATGATTCAACCAGTGAACACCCTCTGCCAATCAGAACACCAGCTATTAAGGCAGCCTTGGCGGGTGCCCTTTTGCATGCCCGAACTGGGAGTGCATTGTCCCTAGATTCAGTGGCAGCTATGGAGGCTTCTGGATTTAATAAGAATACGCTTGGTTTAGTTCTTGCGTGGGCTTGTACTGTTGTTTATTGTAGTTCTAGATGTCCACAACTTTACAAGAATTATAAGAGAAAGTCAGTTGAAGGAATATCGCCATTATTGTTTGCGTCTGCATTAATAGGAAACTTGACTTATACTTTTTCAATTTTAACAAGTTGTGAAGTTTTACTTGGTGATTCTAAAGGGTTTTTGTTAAAGGAATTACCGTATATTCTCGGAAGTTCTGGAACTATTATTTTTGATATGGCATATTTTTATCAAAAGCATATTTATAGAGATACTGGAAGGAATACTATGGTGATGAGTTTAGAGAATTGGAGTCAAATTGCAGTTCATGATGCTTAATAGAGTAGAGTTGATTATTTATAGATTTATTTAATAGAGTCACATTTAATATTTTTACATTCGTTTTGTAACTATAGCCCTCTGTCTTTCGAGTGATCACTCATTTTAATTACAACGGTGCGAGCCGTTGGCAATGTTACTCAGCCAAAAAGAAAAAAAATAATTCATTGAAAAATTTCCGATGTCGAACAAGCCAGGAACTACGAGTTGACTTCGCATACGACCAAAGGGTACAATGAAATGCATAACCAGGATCATCTGTCGAAGTCTGAGGAGACTTATAAGCACAAATGTGCCGAGAAGTTATCAGATTAGTCTACCTCCGAAATCTCAAATTGATAATCCAATCAATATTATCACACCCGGGATACGACAGAATCCATTTTCTTCACCACCAAGCATAGATTTACTACATTTACCACTAGACACTAAACCAAATCCATTACTACGAATGTCTAAAGAGCAATTAATGAACTTGAAAAGAAATGAGTATATTCATCTAAATAATATTCCATATGGAGATCCAGATGAAATGCAAGAGTTTGCGTTCAATGTGATTGAAATAGTAAAGGAGACTATTTTAGATGATTCACGACTATCAGCGATTTTATTGGGACATATTCGAGATTCGGAAGTATTGGACAGTATCTCCCTACATTTAAAACGAGAGTTCCAAAATGACGATTTCAAGAGATCAATATTGCAATTCATACTAGATCCATCCAACAAGTACTGTGAAAGGTTTGTATATAGAGCCATTATTTCGATATTAAATTTAGCAGACCAGGGCAACCTGGCCAGTGAAGTTTCGGCATTGTTATTGAATTATCTTAGACTATTAGCACGAACAGAACTGGTAAATGTTCAACCATGGTTGATGAGATGGAAGCTTTATGAAAGGATGATTGAAATTGTTCCCGCTTCCAAAATAGCCACATTTTATCTGTACCTAGTCAATATCAATTTGCATAGTGTTGCAAAAGGGAGGAATCGAGACCTAAAGGAAAAGTTATTAAAAGGAAGTATCAAAGACAGATTCATAGCTAGAACCGGCTACATTGATCCAAGTGCACATATTTTGAAAACTGTACATTTGGGCGATGTACTTCAGAATAGAATGATTGAGTATTTCACAGTGGAGGAATTGAAGAAGAATGTCGATCGTTTTACTAAGCTCCGTGATCCTGCTACTGCCACTCTTTATTTGAATATGATGATTTCCAAATTTGAGAAGAAGTGTATGCGAGGTCCGACACTAATAGATACCACTTCACCAGAAGAAGATGTTCAAAGTTTGCTCAAAGCCATATTGGGATTGGTGATGAGATTCAAGGGTGCACGTCACTCCATTAAAGTATTATCATATATGAACAAGGAAGGAATAAAACCAGATAATGGAACCTACTTGATTCTATTGGAAAACTTGCGTCAGGCTCACTTGTATGATGAAGCTTTGCTTGTCTTGAACCGGGTAAATTTAAAAACTCTTGAAAATTGGCAAAAAGCGAAACTACTTGAAGAAATCATGTGGGTAGTGAAAAGGAAGTATCCTCGTTCACCAAAGGTTCTTATAGGTTATGCAATTTCGTTATTTAAAGGAACAGACCCAAATGAGAATGAAACTCTAAGATTTCTCGATGAATTATATTTAGTCAATCCAGTATATGGATCTGGAGAACCCAAAATGTCATATTCGCTTGAAATGGTACAAAAGGCTAATGTGAGTGACTCATTATGTATGTCCACTATAAGTCCTCAATGTTTGTCGCTTGTATATGGGATTATTCTAAGGTCTATTCGAAACACCGAAGTGGAGAAAGTTCAAATACTTTTTCAGAGATATCTAGAATTTGTCAAAAATCCAAAGTTTGGATATAAGGAGGATAGTGATGCGATAGTAGGTATGTTTGTGAGTCGTTTATTGAAAGATAAGCCCAACCAAGGGATATCTAGATTTAGCAACAAGCGTCGAAGTAGACGTGAGTTTAGAATTTCTAAATCCCAGCAAAACTATCTTATTGCGAAATCAGTGTTTGAGTTTTATAAGGAGATACCGTTGGTTGAATCTCACATCAGAGCGGCCAATTTGACATTGTTAATACGAGTCGCTTTACTTAAGTATAATGATTATGCGTTTGCAGCAGCCGTGATGAGATATTCTAGAGAGCATGGTAAACCAATGACTTTTGCTCAAGCATACCCGTTTATTAAATATCATTACATGAAGGGCGAAGATGCTAAAGTGAAATTATGGTATGAAGAACTTGTTAGACTGGGAGCATTATCTAATTCCAGAGAGGGTGACGAATTATTTAAGATGGTGAAAAAGTTGGGCCTTCCAGGAACTAAACATGCAGGTAGAAGAGCTGCTGCAAAGAAAAATCAAGCCAAGATAGAAGCAATGAGGAAAATAGAATCAGATCCTCTTTTATTTTTGGGAGAGACGACACAGGCTGAAGACGATGGAGAACTAGATAATGATACTGAGGATCTTATTTCAGGGACACGAGACTACTCGCGTGGGTTTGAAAGTGAATTGGCGAAAGTTTTGAATGAGATTATGACAAGCGAAGAAAAGTAACATTAACTAACTGTATATAACATTTGCATTATTTTTATTTATTTAATTTTATAGACGTATTAACATTATACAAATGATGAACAGATTGAATGAATCTAAGACTTCCTTGAGTAAAAGTGTAACATCTTTTTGATACAATTTTCTCTGAGGCATTGCCTTTCCTGATTGGGACAAAATGTAAACAAACGAATGTGATTGTTTATTTTTTTTTTTTACAACCGCTGAAGATTTTCTTACAAGAAGAAGATGGGAATTGATGATTGATGATTGAATGGATTAAACCAAATCATTTACTATCAAAATAAGCTAAGCAGAAACCAATCGATATCAATAATCAAACTTAGAGAAGAAACCTTATAGTGAAACTGCCAGGATTGTAACTCAAAGAAAATCAGAAGTATTTCAAATGGATTCAGAGAGCAATCGAACAAATCCATTAACAGCTCAATTGAATGAGGCACACATACAACATCTGCCAAATATAGTGCTACAGTCTTCTTATACTCATTCAATGGCTTTCACAGTAAATGGAGCAAATCTTGAGAAAGAACCTTTAGCCAACCCCGTAGGTACGGAAGACCAATTAGTACGGAAACATTTTGATAACATAACCACAACTGTACAAACAACATTAGAAGAATTGGATGAAGTATATAATACTATTGGATATTCCGTTGAGGAAAAGTCTGAAAAGAAATCTGAGATATTCAATGAAATTCAATCTACAATACGTGACTTTGCCGACAATATACATCGAGAAAAGACTCAGATTGAAGATGAATGTGAATGGCTACGCAAACAAACTAAAGTCATCCTTTCAATGATAAATGATTCCAAAGGTGAACGGAATCTAAGTCTCATGGACCGTGGCCTCTTATTCAGCAACCAAAATTCTTATGAAGAAGGTTATAAACAACAAGTATTGGCAGACTTATCAGAGAGACAATCACAACAAAATTTCCTGGATTTTGTCGAAACAGACTCCAATAATCCTTTCTTAGTTAAACAGAAATCCATAGGACAAGAATTCGAAACAATGCTTAGAAACATTCCAAATTTATCATTGATTCAACTTAAAACGAAATTGAATTCCATAATATTCCACGTTTTGCAAATATTCGTGAACCAATTCAGGCAATTTAACAATCTAAATCTAAACTATGCGGAATTGAAAGAAGTAATAGGTGATTTCATATCCAAGGAAGATAATCAACTGATCATTTCATCAATTCCATCTCGAGCCGAAGCAGAATTTCATAAGAAAGTTCTAGATCAATTTGAGGAAATAACCACCAAACTCAATCTGCTTAGTCTGTCAGCTACTAAACATTGTGTGGACAACTCGTCGATTATAGATGCAAGTCCGAGAAAAACTTCAGTTCCACGAAAGGCATCGGGTCAAATCGACGCCAATTCTTCTCCCGAACGCGAACTACTCAGTTCTTTGAGAGATATAAATCGACATCTAGTCAATATCATTCGTGGACTTCGATTTCCTAAAATTTCCCAAGACCTACTAAATGTTTTGCTGGATGAAATAAATGAGAGTAGAACGGAAATGAATATTCGAAAGGACAAAGTCAGTCAAATTATCTGCAATTGTTTTGCCTACATAGAGTCTTTACAAATGACTGATGCTCTGTTAGAGGAGATCCAAAAGAAATCTGAATATTCTGAAGCTGAGCAAGTATTTTTAGATATAGACACTTTGCAAGCGATAGGCAGGGATCCAGTTGAATTTGGCCTTAACAATGTCCACGTTGAATTTTTGATGAAATTCGAGAACATCTTGAGGTCTCTCAAGGAATCCAGGCAACAGCAATGGGATAAATATTCAAAGAGCTGTACTGAGCTTTGGGGAAAACTTGGTGAAGGTGATGCGTATATTAATGATTTTTTGGCAAGAAATAGGCCATTAACGGAAATTTCACTTCTTAACTTCCAAATGGAATTGAACAAATTGTATCAAAAGAGATCACAATTTATTGAACAATTTATAAGTGACACAAAGAATGAAATAGAAAAGATGTGGTCAATAATGTTTTATTCAACAGAGAACAAGCAGGAGTTTGAATTTTACGGATATGATCCTAATAGAGACGATCAAAATAAGGAAACGGTATTAGCCAAGCACGAAGAAGAATTGAGTCGATTGAAGGAAGAGTATCATTCTAAGAAAACTGTTCTTGACTTGTATAACGAGCTCAATGAACTCGTTAAGGATCAGGAGTTCTTGCAAAAATCATCGATGGATTCTTCTAGATTGTTAAGCAAAAATTCTTGCAAGATACTATTGAATGAAGAAAAGATACGAAAGAAAATTAATAAAAATTTCCCAAGGGTTATCGAAGAATTAAAGAATGAAGTAAAGCGATATAACTCCCAGGCGATTTTGGAAGAAAAGAAGCCGATGACCATTAATGGCGAAGATTTATTACAAAAGGTGCTCAGGATTGAGAGCTCTCAGCGTCTGTCCGGAGCAAGAATAGGAAAAGCTCCAAAGACTGCCGGACATACCAACGTTAGTAAAAGAAGCATTCAGACCCATAGATCACCCCAGAGAGTACTCAAGTCACCAATCCGTCCACGTCAAAATTCAAGATCGAGAGATGCATCTCCAAACAAAAAACATAATCCACCTTCTGGTATGAGAGTAGGTCGTGCACCGTTGGGACGTACTTTCAACAACCCTACTACCATCAGATTAACAAATGCAATAAATTCATCGTTGTTGCATAATTCGCCAACACTTTCGATAGAGAGTCCAATGCAGGCTTCTAAAAACAATTCATTAATGTCACGCATTCCTCCCTTTGATTTAAAGCCATTGAATAATCCACTTTCTGCAATGCTGCCAGGAACTGGAAACTCAACTATCTTGTCTGCTATGGATAATAATTCACCCTTGAGAGGTTACAATTTCTCAACTAGCAGTCCTGTTCCAAAAAGGGCAATAAATCAAAACCAATTGGCTCATGGTTCGGACGATAAGGAAAATTCTTCTCCATTTGTGCTTTCTCCAATCAAAATCAATTCCAAGTATTTGGAGCATAACGTACCCTCGAGGCGGAAATCAAGTGTCAGTACCTGTGACAGTTCGACATTAATCGGAGAAGATTTCACAGGTTGGAGGCAGGAGAGAATTAAAGAGGCAAACGAAAGTTAATGAACTTTACTTCTAATAAATGTATTATATATAAGATAGAAAATGGGACAGTTGTAATATTAAATATTATTCATCGCAAGTCTATGAGACTTAAGCTCGTAACTTTTCATATCATCAAATGTAGTTCTCATTGTCTAATCCCCTCATTACCTTGGACACTTCCATCATCCTTGGGAGTCTCCTTCACTACCAGATTTGTGGGTGCTGCCTCTTCGTTTTCATCTTCTATCTCGTCTTCTTCTTCATCGTCAACATCTTCGTCATCGTCACCTTCGTCATCCTCGTCATCATCTTCATCATCCTCATCTTCGTCGTCATCAATGATAGCTTCATCGTTGTTCTCTTTGCTGTTATCTTCCCCCTCCTCTTCTTCCTCCTCTTCTTCATCTTCTGGATAGCCGCCTAGTTTCATTACTATTCGGTTTACAATTTCGTTCCAGTCCATCATTCCACCCATCCCAATATCTCCATAACTACCAACAACTTTCTCCAGCGGTTTTAATATCTCTATCCAGGGCATTTCTTCAGCAATCAATTTCAATTGTCTCTTTGTTGTTATCGCGTTATATGAGTAACTAACCATTGCTGGAGCTAGCAATATTGGGAAAGATGTATTCCAGGCTCGTATCACGTTTGTTAATAAATTGTCACAAATACCTAATGATATCTTAGAAAGTGTGTTGGCAGTCAAGGGGCAAATAACCAAAATATCTGCCCAACGTCGTAATTCAATATGTAAAACTGGATCCTGCCTAGTCTTCCAGGTCCATTCATCTTCATCTCTCCAAATACGGACTCGTTTCACTGTTTCTAAAATAGCTAACATTTCTTGAGAAATAAAATTCTCACTTGCTTTTGTCAATATTAATTGAATAGATATTTTATCAATACCATATATTTCATATAATTTACTGATAATTAGTTTAATTTTGACAGCAGACAAAGCACCACAAACTCCAAGTAAAACATGAATCTTTCCATCATCTTGAGCAAGACGAGGATCTATATTGGCATTTTGTTCGTTTGGACCCAAAACAGGCAATGGCGTGCCCGAAGCACTTGGTTTTCCAGACGACACGAGTGAACTAGCTGAGCCCACAGACTTTGCAGACATATTCTCTTGACTTCTACTTGCATCTCCAGATATCAAACCAGGAGAAGCACGAGTGTTGCTAGAACCAGAACCACTTCTTGACCTATTCAATAATTTGACTGGTCTAGGAGTTTCTTCAGAGAAATGGGCATGAACGGATGGAGCTTTATGATGGGCATTATCTTTTGGTGGAAATAACAAATAGTCCAAACTTGTCTCAGATCCATTCTTATATACGAATTGTTCTGTAACTGTGGCTGGAAATTGAGATTTAGGGGAAAGACTGTTTGGTTCTGTGGAAGATCTTGGATCAAAATCTTTTTCAACTACTGACGTTTGCACAGGAGGTGATGATAAAACTGATGGCTTACCTGACTTTCCGTTGTTGAGAATTGGTGGTGGTGACGGGAGTCGAAGGTTTGAAATTGCCAAGATAGACGGTGGAACATCTTCTAATTTTGTGGGTGGAATTTGAGGTGAATTTGATTCCTCTTTAGGATGCTCTGAAGACATTGTAACTTAAGTGAGACTATTAACAGCTTATTGATGCGGATAAGGATTTCAAAGGATTTGGGTGGGGGGAGTAGATTATGATTAAAATTGATTTAACAAATGTCAGTTTTTTGTAGATAATGAAAATACCCAATACAACTTTCTTTAAATGAAATAAGAAAGCAAATTAAAGGAAGAAAAAATTCAAAATTTTTTTATAACGCAAAATTAAATAAATAGGGCACGTGATTTAAAATTGATGTGTAACTTTTCATCAAACACACAAACAATTCAGTTAAGTTTTAACTAAACTTTAAATGATAATTCAAAGAGATCATGTTATTGGGTCTACACAGATTGTATCGTATGACACTTAGAAAGATGACTTCAGGAAATAGTGTTTGTGTGTCAGATTATAATAATCCAAGGAGCCACATGCCATTTCATTGCTCATCAGGAGTTGAAAAAAAAAAATCCCGCAAATGAAAAATTTTGATGAAATTGTCACCAATTTACTTAAATCATAACAAGTGGTAATTACCGTTGTACTTTACAGAATTTTATATTTTATTAAACCTATTTTTCTAAGAGCTCTACCCAATCCCAGCTCAATCCAGTTCTTGTTGCTTAATTTTCATCTTGTCAAAAGACTCTTTTAATCCATCGGTAGATTGCAATTCAACTTCATTTACACTCTCCCCATCTTTCACTTCCTCTTTAACCGCGTGCTTATCATTCGACAATGGACGCTCGGTATTTTGTAGACGGTTCGACTCATATCTAGGTGGGAAGGGCCCGTATGGACCATGCGAGGGTATAAATCCATATCCAAACCCATCATTGGCAGAAACTTCCTGATTGTTGTAATAATATGGAGGAATGAAGTAGCCAGGATGAGGAAGTCTAGGATACCCTTGAGGTGACCCTGGATGAGGAGGAGGAAGTCTAGGATACCCTTGAGGTGACCCTGGATGAGGAGGAGGAGGAGGAGGAGGTGGCGGCGGTGCACTCATCGGAACCCGAGTATGTTGTGCTGAGTTGTATAACTGTGGTCTTCCTTGACCTGGTGGTGCTGTCCCAGCCCAGGCTCGGTTGTCATGTAGAACCGGAGGAGTTGATCCTATGTGTAAATGAGGAGGAGTGAAATTTGATTGATTTATCGTTGATGAACCCCAAAGCTGTTGGATTGGATAGTTATTAAATCTAGGAAATTTATCATAGCGCACAGTTAATGAACGACCTTCAAACTCAACATTATCAAACATTTCAATCAACTTTTCTGAAGTCTCCCGATTTCCAGTTGTGACTATTGCAAAACCCCTACTTTTCCTGAGGATTTGAGGGCGTGTTGGCGGAACATATGGAGAAGGGTGTTGGTAATTATCTTTGGCACGTAACTGGTACACTATTGATTGAGTGGGAATCTCCACTCTGATGATTGAAAGATTGCAAGTAGGGTCCAATTGATTTGAACGAGTAACTAGGAAATTCTTCAATGAGGCCCAATTGGATGAATATGGGATATTTCCCATAAACAATCTACAAGGGTTCACTTGGATTAACTTTTCTGGATCATCACCTTCACCAGCAGGGATATAGATAAACTCAGTAAAATCCTCAGTCTCTTGAGAATGGGAAGCATCTATAGCTGTAGATTCAAGTTTAGAAGAAGAATCGCTATGTTCTTGCAACATGTTCATTACAAATGGAGGAACAGCTTGGGCGCCACCTTTAGTTTCCCCCGGTAGGGAAGATAGAGACCCTGTTGAAGCTGAAGTATATGACGACCCGGATGACCTTCTACCTGGGCTGAAACTGTCAGTTGAGGAATTTCTTCTGCACCAAGGGGTGCTTGGAGATGAGATTGGTTGTCTGTTAGAGTAATTCTGGTTGTAAGGATTATATGTGTACGGAGCATATGGTAGATAGCCAGGAATATTTCTTTGCATACAGGGATATGGAGGTGGTATCCTTATTGGGTATATTGATGAGTGATGATTAGGATAGACAATGTGTTCCGGTGCCAGTTCAGAGCCTCTCTGATTTTGCTCCTTTATGTTGTTCTCTTGTGTTGGCGTGTCTCCTACTCGAGTTTGATACAGGAATGCGGGATTTGCAGCCATATTTGCATAGTGATATTTGTTCCCTTGGTTATTTTTTGCCATCCACTCCACAGACTCGCGATCTATTTGAAGAGGTAAAACCAGCAATTCGTTACCCGTCCATTGAACACCAGATAAGTTCAGCAATACCTCACAGGCCTCCAAGTTCAATACCTGGACTTCAGCAAACATAGTATCATCGCCTTGATAACCATTAAAAGATGTAGATGGATTTTGAGTAAAATTGATTATCTTAAAAGCGGCACTTTGTACGGGTAAATGAGCAAGTTTCAGTTGGAGAAATTCATCTAATTGGCTAATGGTGACATTGCACAGTATATTGTCCATTCTCAAGACATAGAAACCTTGTTGATCCGGGAATGTATTCAAGCGAAATGAAGTGTTTGCTTTCGACTTATCTAAAGTCTCTCCAACTAGAGAGGAAGCCTCCTTTTGACAAGGGAACTCATATTTACTAGTATACTTCGAAGCCACGCTCCTATTTGCAGCATAAGAGCAACTATCTTCTCTGTTTGAGCTTTCTCCTAATTGAGGTTCTTGTGAGTAAGTCATAGTTGGGTAAATTTCTGTAACCTGATCGCACTAAAGTATACCAATAGTATGCTTTGTTTTTATAAATTGCAGCAGTTGAATCGAATCAGTTCCAATGCCTTTACCACAGTCTATGAAGTTGTTTAGGAAAGCGTCTGTTGATGTAGTTTTCTCTTTAAGACAAAGCTAAAAAAATTAGATTATTATTATTTTTTTTCTTTTTGTCTTTTTTCGATTGTTTAAATTATTTTAATTTGTAATTATTCTTGATTTTGTGTTCTTTTTCTGGACCCTAAATATTATTTTTAATTTATGCAAAGAAATTTTAGACTTATTTTTTAAAATGGATTTCTAGAAAATCTAGATCGTACTTGTACATGAAACTAGAAAAGAAAGTAACAAGCGAAGAAATAAATATAAGGTATGACTAATTACCTATGGTTTTGAATTAACATTATAAATATGGACTTCAAGGGGGGTGGGGAAAACGGGGTGCTTACAAAAGAAAAAATATCCAAATTGTAACCCCTTGTACGTAAAATATTGTTGAATAAGTGGATTTTTCAAACCGACACGGAATTGAATTAGGTAACAGTCAGCCAACTACACCCGTTCAATAGGTGAACCCATGCACTGCTGATAGATGGGTTTGCCTAGTTAAAATGTCACTGGAATTGCTTCATTTGTTTCTGTAGAAGGACGTAGGACCCCCGAGGACACAAACGCCAACTCCCCCCCCCTCCCACCGATTGAAGCGCACTTGTTAAAACAGCAGCTAAATCCCAGAATTTTTCTACAATTCAACTTAGTAAATGAAAGCAACCAAAGGCTTCGGCTAGGCACAGAAACTCACTAACTGGTTAGTTACTCAGAAAAAGTTTATTTTTTGTCTAACCAATTCTGCATCATTCTAGAGTACCGCCAATATAATTTTCGAGTCAAATAGCTTATAACCATTGTAACTGCTGAAGTCATCTTAGTTGAAACCTAGGTAGATAGTAATCCACTCTGGAAACTCCTTTCATATTGGTGCATAATTTGTCTAAGGACTTCGTCTTGTCAGCAGACTACTGTTACCCAGTCTTGTATATTAAGACAGCCGCGTCCAATAGGCTAGGAATTGGATTAATGGTCTGCAAACTTAACGTTCTGGATGCTGTCCGGTACCAAACTAAAATAATTCAAGTAGGATTCCCACTCAATCAGCAGTGGCCAGCCAGGCGATGTCGATGTGAATACTAGTTATCCCTTTTCGCTGCATTTTGCTAGAATTTTGTTCATCAGCACAGTTCTAGCTTCCAGCTGGCAGTGGTAACTTCTTCTACAACGGATGGTGGTATCAGCAACATCCCAAGCGATATAGTGAACTAATACCCCACATGAGTTTCTTTTGAATAGGGCTCAATCCATGTATGGTCTCTAGACAGTATTTAAAGCATTCAAATCGATGTTTAGTATGCAGTAAGATACAGTAAGATACTTAACTTACAACCAGATAAACCCACAAGATGTACTCACCAGAACCACACTTCAAAGTTAAAGCAGACGACACAGCCCAGGAAACATAAGCAAAATGTGAATTTAACAAAATCAGATACAGAACCAGTTGCAGACTGATCACGATGATGGAGTAGAAAAGGACTAATGCTTCAGAGTTTTTCTTGGATTTTCGAACTATGAATCTGCCTGCATCTTTGATGTTTATTTGTTATAAAGGTATGTATTATAATTTACACAGACTAACTATGGAAAGTATAATGATTCCAGCAGTATTCTTAGTACCACCTTATAGCCGAGCGTGGTTTATAAGAGAGAGCAAAATGTGTTTCCGTACGAAAGCTTGCTGTCTGGTTCGTGGCGACTCAACCCGACCCACTGAAATCCCCTCACAATATTTAGACAGCATTTCTCCGGGGACAACATTTCCCGGGGCTGACCGAATCAAGTACTGTGATGGAAAGTCGTACCAACTTATGTGGGCCGACCCGTTACCACTTGGAATTGAGCCATCGTACCTGGCCATGCGGTGGTGCTAGAGACCAGGACTCAATCCCGACTGGTTCGGGACAATTTCCTAGCTGTGTACCCATAATACATTTGACCCAGAATTTCGAAGAAGTAAAGACGGATTAGATGGGAAGGAAACACACTAGTTGATTGACACATAAGTGGGACTAAAACTTTTGAGTCAAGATGCTGTTATCTTTCCCCGTTTAAAAAGGTCATCCCTTTCGTGTCACTCTTGTCATAAGTTGTGTTGCGTATAAGCCTCTATTATTGTAAACCAATGAACAGACGCAAGGACTTTACATACATCGAAGTTAAAGATATTTTTACATCACTGTGAAATCATATATTAGGCTTTCCAGGCTTATCTTTCGAGGCTGGGTTAGCTTAAGACGTGATATTGAAACAATCTTTGGGTAATGATTTAAAACACTTCCCGGAATGCCGAATTCAAAGGTATGAAAACTACTACATGTAGCGTCACCGTAGTAGTTCGTGGTTATTGGTCATTAGCCCTGGTGCATTCCCCTCCCTGTTCTTCAAAATATGCCAGACGTCTTATTTTTTTTCGGAAAACGTTTGCATTCGTCAAATGTTTTCATTGGATGATAGAGAAAGTCATATGTTGAAATGAAACTTCGCCTTATGTGTATTTGCCAAACCTTAATCTTCAAATTTTGGTAGCTTTTGTATTCTACAATTATTATTTTTTAACATTATCATTCGTGCACATTTATTTTTTTGTCTGTTATTAATTATATTGTGGCTAGTGCAGCATAAATCTGCAGTTTTGCAACATGATGCAAGTTCTACGAGTTCCTTTTTACTTTTTGAGAGAAAGACGTTATTTTTTTAACGAATTTAAATTGTCTAGGACCCTGAAAGCGATAATTATATAAATAAGTACATAAATAGTAGCACTTATACCAGTGGAACAGAAAGAGACATGTCTTGTTTCCATCTTAATTGCAATTCCAGTTTTATTTACGAATTGCTTGTGAAATGAGTTGGTTGTTAATTAAACTTTCTTTAATCTTTGAAAATTTTAACCGCAGTGCTTGAATTATTTTACCCGCAAACAACTACTAATGAAAAGAAAGTCCCGAGGTCATTTACAGTAACAAAATGGGTAATTGAAGATTAAGGTTTCCTATAGAACCCACTAATCCTTGACATGGTTTAAACTCTGAACACTTAAGTTACTTGCAGCAATGACAGAATCTAATGTTACTCTATTCTCATATCTCCAATGTTCAACAAGAGTTCAAATTCGTCTATTCTAGCAAGTTTAATTCAGACGAAACAATACTCTAGGGACTATTATACATTCAGCTCCCAACTTGTGTTAGTGTAGTTCCGAATTTCAGTTGAAATTCCAACCAACATAGAAAAAGTTAGACAATTGTGCATTTTGGGTCATGCTTTGCAATGGGACCTATTATTAAGAGAAGATGTGATACACAGAGTCCTAATTGTACAAGATAAGTGGTAGATGCGTTGAATACAAGTCCTTGGGCAGCAAAATTTTTTTTGCACTTCCCCCTCATCAAGAAGGGACAGAAAGAGATAAAATAATTTCAGAAATTAAAAAAATAAAAGTATAAAATAAATAATTATAAAAAATAATCATTAAAAAATAATTATCAAAAAATAATTACAAAAAATATTGTAAAAAATAAAGTATAAACACTAAACAATAGCATATAAATTTAAATGTTAATAACGAAGATTTTGCAATGGGTGGACGAAAAAAAAAGTATTCAGGCAACACTAACCGAGTGTCAGACACTTTAAAGTTGATTTTTCCTATAAATAAACATCCATCCCTTTGAATGACAACTTGCATAAGTATCCTTGTTTCAAAACGACTGGCAACCACTACCATTGGGGAACGACAGACTCGACAGACTGCTTAGATTTCTTCAGGAAGAAACAACTAACTTATTTTGATTATTGTTCACAGAAACTCACATTCCTTGGTTGCATACTACTTGCATAAATTCTCAAGAACAACCATCACAGCCAAGGTTTTGAAAAAGTCAAAAGCGAGAATGCCCAAGAAGAGGTCCACAGGAACCGCTAAAAGAAGTCGAACAAGATCTGGTTGTGTCACATGTCGTGACCGTCATATTAAATGTGACGAACAACAGCCGGTTTGTCGAAACTGTATAAAATCAAAGAGGAAATGTTACAGAGGTATACGTCTCAATTTTACTCAATATAGTTTATACGATCCCGATGAAAATTCACGAAGTAGAAGAAGACCCCCCATACGACAAGAGTATAGAATTCTCGATCAGTCTATCACTATTGCTTCCTTGTATGACAATGGAAAGAGAGGATACTTACCATTTCTCCATCTACATTCTCCTGAAGATTTAAGGGAATCAGACCTTCAGTTTCAACAAGATATATACAGTGCCCTCCCGTCCGGATCGACATCAAACTATGGTGGAGAGGAATCAACCACTGATCAGCCACCAAAACTTGTGAAAGTTAGAACATCCAGTAAAGTACCACTCAATGTGTCATCAATCTCAGAAAACTATGAAATCAGTAATCAATTGTTGAATGAGAGTTACTTCAAAAATCAATTTATTCAACAGGGGCAAAACACCAATCAGCCACAACAGTTTCCAGTACAGGATCAATTATTATATCCTCAATCAATACCAAGTTACTTTTATTCACAACCTGATAATCCGGTATATCGTTCTGTGCAGCAACTACCCCAACCACAGATACCACTATCGGACCGAGTATCTGGAGGGCATTTTGGTTATGTAAACACTCAGATGCAACCTAGATTTGAGTACGAAAATCTAATACAAAGTCGAACAATTCCCACCAATGTTGATGCAAATGTTTATATTCATTTAATTGAGAATGAAAAGTACTATTGGCTTCTCGATCTACTTAATGATTTGAATATTTGGAAATCAATTGTGCCATCAATCTGTATAAAGTCTGCTGAGACCGACTCATTTTTGCTCGATTGTTTACTTCATTGCTCCCTCCAGAATGAGACCAGTTTGGATAAGCTACTTCATCAGCAACTAGAAAAATGGAATTCTTGTCGTGCCTTATATCCAATCGATGCTCAGAATTCAATAGTGTTCGAATCGTTGTTGGTTAGTGTTACCTTAATTATGCTAGGCATATACTTGAAGTCTATCGGCACTCGACTAACTGAGTTTCAAAAGATTGTCTTAGACAACCAATTGAAGTTGTTTAATAAGGTCATGGTTAAAATTGAAGAGTACTTGAAATCTAAACGTTCGAAGTCTGTTGTCTTGATTTCTTGTGTCCACTCCATCATTATGATTAAGTATTTCATTATCAAGATATTCAGATTGGATTATGGAGTTAGAGTAACAGAGAGAACTGTCGATGTCACGGAGGAGATTATATATCCAGAGAACCTGTCCTTGCTATCGAGTAACGATCCATTTAGTTCACATGGCTCTGAACTATCGAGTCTCGTGGGTTTGACAAGTTTTGAAATAGCTAATTTGAATCATTCATTTAAATCTATCGATTTCGGACAGTTGAAGTATAAATCCATGTCCAATGATACTAAAAGTGATGCAAGTGAGTTTAGAGACATTTTGTGGTATCTTATTAAGCTCAATTATGTGATAACTAATTCTGACCTTGCCAATCAGTTTGGAATTGATTACAACTACATTTACAAAGACCAAGATGATCTTTCAACCTCGGAATCCTCATTAAGTGCAATGCAAGATGGTAGTCAATTTACCCCAATTCGACAACAGCATACAAGTAGGCTTCCTCCAACCAATAATCTGCAAACAGCCTGTTATTTATTAAGAGAGTTCATTCACAAGTTGCTTAATATGGGTAACCCAGACATAATAAGAGATGCCAATTATAAAATTGAAAGTTTGTTCCAAACGATTGATGGAAGTTTCAATGATGCGGAGGTCAAGGTACAATGGAGAAAGCATTTCGATTGGGTACTCCGGTATATCAATCCAAACGTTTCTGAATAGATATGATGTTATTCTCGAAATTATAGATCCCGGGGATCTTGGACATCGACTTTAGTTTGCTCCCACGAGCCAAATGTATATATGTACTATATGTAATATAATGAATAGTGACTTTTCTTTTTCTAAACTATCAGTACAGATAATCAATGTTCCTCTCATTAACATAGTATGTTTGTGTTGTGAATAATTGCTAGTCAACGGTTAAGTAAAAAGGGTTGCCAGCTATAATTTTAAGCTGCGTAGCATAGTTCAAGCTGAAAATTTATTTGAATTTAATTTCAAATTTATGAAAGGTAAGTATAAACGAATTTCAAAAAATTTTCACTAACACAAAATTCGAACAATAATACAGCCACGAATCGCGTGTCAATAGAATTTCTATTTCCAAGAAGGGTATAATTCATTACTATCATCGCAGGATCATGCTTCAACCAACATATCTCATTCTTAGTTCTCGGTTATTCTTGATCTAGCAGCTAGGTATTTTTTATGTAAGAGCGCAATTCTTGCCATATTTTTTGGCATTAATACGACTGTGATATTACATAGGCGATTATGCTAAATGAAAGGCGAAGCCTTGTAGTATTATCATTTAAGGTGGTACGTTGGACGAAAGCACAGCCGCAAACAGACTAGAATCCACGAATTCAGCCAATCATCAAAATCAAGAATCAGCACAAAAATGTCCAATCGGAATTTGTCTGGTTGCCAGATTTCTGTCTGATTCTTTTCATCTTTTATGTTAGACTTCAAAACGATTATGTTCATTAGATAAACTCTGCAGCCTATGTCAGGGTCCATATCATTTGGCATTGTTGCAGCCGAACTGTAAGGAGAACGGAGTTGCGGAAATTGATACACGCTTTTTGACCTTAACACAAAAGCTAAAAAAATATGTTTTAAACATATGAGTGGTTATTATTTTCTTCTCTAAATTGCTTTGTAATCACCTTTTGATCTTCGAGACTATTAACTTTGGGAATCGTTGCGATCTGCAGACAAAATAAAACGCGAAATTTGTAGCTGCAAATCAAATTAATGTAGGAAAATCTTGGCAAATTGAACTTGCCAACTGTTTACCTTCTGTCCTTCTCAAACGCAAACTACTGATCCTCCATCATTTGTAAGTTCATTAGAGGGTCTTTTGGTTCATAACCATCTGTGGCTTGAAAATTTTATTTTCCTTCAGAACAATTTCAATATTTTTGACATTAAAAATATTATTTTTTAAATAATGTCTGTATCCTGATTTGCAAGGTTCATAACCACCCTAGACGAGATATGCATGGAAGATAAATTAGTATTATCTGATAAGAAATTTAATGGCAAGGCTGTCATTTGAAAGTGGACTCAATCCTTTTTATAAAAACTTAGATTTCCAAGTGTTTGTTTCTACAAGTACTCTACTTAAGTCATTCTCAGTCTTAGAATACCGTATCCGTGGTGTGGATTACCAAATGAGGCGTGATTACAAAACCACTTCGAAGATTATTTTCTACGCAATGACAATTGCGTCTGCATTTGTACTCAAAATGGACTAAAGCGAGGATGCGGCGTGCATAAAAAATATCAAAGACAAACCCAATCACAAACATTATTATCTTTTTTATCAGAAGAATTAATGCGATTATTTTATTGGTTAGACATTTGGTTGGAAAATTAACGTGAGGCTCATTCGCTGGGTGAATGGCTATAGAAGGTACAAGACGTTCGGAGGATTGGGTACCCAGATTTAGAGAGCTGGCTCTGCACGTCCCTGCCCCAATAATAGTCGCGGCTGACGTGCTTGAGCGCCCAATCTGCACGTACAACCCAGCCTGGCACAAGGAGAGGAACGGGTACACAAAACTGAAAGGAGAGGAACGGGAAGATTGAATTCTACACTAATACGAGCGGGGTAAAAGGCGATTCAAGTGATTGTGTACCTCATCTCGTCCCATTTGATGAAGTCTTGGTGGGTGAGTATCTCACACGAGGACTATACAAACGTTTGGTAGTTGTTTGTGCATTTTTCGTATAAAAAAGGGTTCACCAGGGAATGCAGGAAAATACTTAAAAGAGAACAAGTAGCTAGGTTTGCTTCTTTGAGAATGTCAACAAGAAGATCTAGCACAATAGATCAGAAGGGTGTGTTTGAATTATACTGTGCAAATTTCAAACCAAGCATAATGTATCTATGCAATGTGTACTTAGTAGCCATGGTATCTTTTTTTTTTCTTATATCTATTAGGAAAACTATATAATTAGAGATAGCTTTGTATCAGCACCCATCTTGCATGTTACATACGTAATTCAAGCTATAATCTAATACTTGTTGACACAAATCTAAAGCCGAGCTTATTACATGCTCAAGGCGTCAGCTCGCATTTGCTAAGCCTAGATAATTGTGTCAATCGGAAATATTCTTTTGGGTTCCTACTTCAACAATATACATGTTCGGATCTTAAATTTCCAGAGTTTAAATCAGGAATACCCGTATCGGAGGTTGCCTAAAGAAGGCTTATGATATTGTATGACAGGGTTGAAGTAATATCTCCTATGTGTGTGACAATAAAAGTTGTGTGCACGCCCGGGAAATGCCTAAAAGGCATTTTCAATCACAGACACAAAAAGGCACGGAAGTATTCCCTAATTGGCATCGAACTTAAAGTTATAGTTGCCTCGCGAATAAGTTGATTCAAGGGTGATCTCTAACATTCATTTCCAGTATTTGTTTCGGCGATACTCATTAACTATATCCTATTTCGAAGCTCCTCAGTAATATACGGCTCTCCAATCGAATGAAATCGTACCAGGTTGATGAAGATCCATCTCAAAAAGCAGAGATGACTAACGCTAGATTCCTTTATGGTCACTTCCTTGAAATATCACATTGAAATGTTATACTTTAACAATCAAGAGTACCAACCGGGGTATATTCACGACCACTCATTTGCAGCAAACCTCTGTCTTGGTAGCGCCTATATTTCAGGGTCGCCTAAGCTTCAGGGTTCGTAAACTATTCTGATGAAGATTACATAAGTCGTTCATTGGCAACTCTTTTTCTTCGAAGTTTCTTTAAGAAATCAGCGGCTTATCTTACGTTTCAAGGGACACGAGTATGACGAATGAGCTTCAACGAGTCAAGTTTATTAGTTTGGTCAATTTTACACTACCAAACCCTAAATTTTCAGCCCCAAGTTACCCGGATTAATATGATCCATCAACGAAAAATCAAAATTCAACGAAAATTTTTCGCCCTAATTGGCGCTGTCACACATTTCAAACTATCATATAAAAAGGCCAGTCAATTCAATTGAAATCCTAAAAAATCGAAAAATGTCTCAAGGTACATTATATGCCACTCAACAAATCAGAAGTATTGCCCCAAAGGTAATCATCAAACAATTCGGTTTAGATGTTAAAATTTCTGATAAAGATGGGGATTATGAGAAATATTTCCCATTGGGTAAAATCCCTGCTTTTATTGGTCCAAAGGGATTAAAATTACATGAAGTTATTGCAATTTGTCTTTATTGTATGTATTTATGAACATGATCTTTTATTAACAATTGATTCGAAGTGATGATGTTTAAATTATAATGATGAGAAATTTTTTCAATTATTTATACAGTTATCCCTGTCTTAATAAATTATGTCGAGAATCTATAATCTGAGATTTTTTATTTATGCATTGTCTAGAATCAATTCAATTACGTTACCAAATGCGTTGTAACAATATACTAACTCAATTGAATAGTGATTAATTTAGGTGATCCTAAATCTAATTTATTAGGTAAAAATGCTACTGAATATGCTCAAGTTATCAAATGGTGTTCTTTTGCTAACATGGAAATTTTACCAACTATTGCTAGAGTCTTTAGAACCATCTTGGGTGTTTTTCCATACAACAAGAAGGTTGTTGACGAAGGTAATGCCTTCCTTGACAAGGCTATTCCTGTTTTTGAAGCTAGATTAAAAGAATTTACTTATTTAGTTGGTGAAAGAGTTACTCTTGCCGATATTTTAGCTGCTTCTTATTTCGTCAGAGGTTTTGATAATATCTTTGGTGCTGATTGGAGAAAGAAATATCCAAACACTACTAGATGGTTCAAGACTTTGATTTCTTCTAAATATTTATCTGAATATTTCCCAGATTATAAATTTAGAGAAAAGCCAGTTGAATATGTTCCTCCAAAGAAGGAAAAGAAGCAACAACAACCAGCTAAAAAGGAAGCTGCTCCAAAGAAGGAAAAGCCTGCTCCTGCTGCTGAAGATGATGAACCTCCTGCTGCACCAAAACCAAAACATCCATTGGAAGCTTTGGGTAAACCAAAAGCTGCGTTGGATGAATGGAAGAGAGTTTATTCTAATGAAGAAACTAGAGAAGTTGCTATTCCATGGTTTTGGGAAAATCAATACAATCCAGAAGAATGGTCATTATGGAAAGTTGATTATAAATATAATGATGAATTAACTTTAACTTTCATGTCTAACAATTTAGTTGGTGGTTTCTTTAATAGATTATCTGCTTCTACCAAGTATATGTTTGGTTGTATGGTTGTTTATGGAGAAAACAACAATAATGGTATTACTGGTGCTTTCTTAGTTAGAGGTCAAGATTATAAGCCAGCTTTTGATGTTGCTCCAGATTGGGAATCTTATGAATTCACCAAATTGGATGCATCTGATGAAAAATCTAAGAAGTTTATTAACAATATGTTTGCTTGGGATGAACCTGTTATTGTTAATGGTGAAAAGAGAGAAATTGCCGATGGTAAGGTATTTAAATAAGCTGGGCTTATTTTTCTCTCTGTCTTTTTTTATTTCTACAGATTGTTTAGTGTTTTGTATTTAATCTTCCATTCTTGAATAGTTAAATATAAATTAAGATTTCACTTTCATACTCATCTACAGTGTAATGTAAGTTTGTAGTTTAACCCAAGTGGTTTACATGTGTCAGATATTTGGTTAAGTACACGACCTATTTATATTTTTCATCACCACCCGTGGAGCCTCACACAGCCATAATAACGGGATTGACACTCAGTTTCTATGTTTAGAAAAAAAAAATCTTGAACAATTCATCAATCTTGAAATTAATCACAAGAAGTTAAATAGCTTCAAGATTAAACAATCCAGACTTCCAATTAAAGCATTTTTATAGAGCTTTGTGTGCTTTAGGAGGGATATAAATTAATTAGATAAGCCAGTTTACAAATCAGACAAGCTAAGTTTCATAATGGTTAATTATAGTAGGAATTATTATATAAATTACATACGAAGAAGACCTTTAGCATTATTAGCACCAATTACGCTTTTATTTGTTATTTACCTTTTCTTCTTCTCATCATCATCATCATCCTCATCCTCATCGTCATCTAAAGGAAAACAACAAACCAAATATTCATATGACACCAAATCAAAAGGATGGTTTAAACTGAATAAAGATTCAGTAATACTTAAAGACTTACCAAAGAATCATATTAGTCATTATGATTTAAATAAATTATCATCAACATCGGATCCATTATCCAAAAGAGAAGAAGTGTTGATTTTAACTCCAATGTCAAAATTCTTACCTGCTTATTGGGATAATTTAAATAAATTATCATATGATCATTCATTAATTTCCCTTGGATTTATATTCCCCAGAACTAACGAAGGTGATGAAGCTTTGAAAGAATTAGAAAATGCTTTGAAAGAAGCCAAAGCTGCTAATAAGTTAAAATTCAAGAAAATTACCTTATTAAGACAAGATTCAAATTCATTAAAATCACAATCGGAAAAAGATCGTCATGCATTCAAGGTTCAAAAAGATCGTAGATCAATGATGGCCCTCGCTAGAAATTCATTAGTATTCACTACTATCTCACCTTCAACATCTTGGGTATTATGGTTAGATGCCGATATTGTCGAGACTCTACCAACTTTGATTCAAGATTTGGCGGGTCATAATAAACCGGTCTTATCCGCAAATGTCTACCAAAGATATTTCGACCAAGACACTAAACAAGATTCAATCAGACCATATGATTTTAATAATTGGGTTGAATCTGAAGAAGGATTAAAGATTGCTAATTCTTTACCAGAAGATGAAATTATTGTTGAAGGATATGCGGAAATGGCTACTTATAGACCATTAATGGCTCACTTTTATGATGCTAATGGGGATGCAAATACTGAAATGGCTCTCGATGGGGTTGGTGGAGGTGCGGTATTGGTTAAAGCTGATGTTCATCGTGATGGTGCCATGTTTCCTTCATTCCCATTCTATCATTTGATTGAAACTGAGGGTTTTGCGAAGATGGCTAAGAGATTGGGATATGAAGTGTTTGGATTGCCTAATTATTTAGTCTATCATCATAATGAATAGACTGTTTGAGTTGTTGTTTTGTAGACTATGATTGATTAATTTAGTTATTTTGTATAAAAATTTTGTATGTAGAAATATAACTACAAATTAGGAAATTTAATCTCAGCCGCAGTGACAAAAAAAAAAAGAAATCTTCACAATAAAAAATTTCGAAGTGCGAAGAGATGCACTGCAAAAAAAAAAATTATCAAAAGCTCTTCTCTTGATTTATATACTTTCTAACCATCCAAACCAACCTGTCCCGTAATCAACAGCCAAGATGCAACTCTCATGGAAAGATATACCAACCGTTCCAACATCTAACGATATGTTGGATATCGTTTTAAACCGTACCCAAAGAAAGACTCCAACAGTTATTAGACCCGGTTTTAAAATCACTCGTATTCGTGCATTTTATATGAGAAAAGTTAAATTTACAGCTGAAGGATTCAGTGAAAAATATACTGATATTATAAGTGGATTCCCTAATATTAATGATGTTCATCCATTTCATCGTGATTTGATGGATACTTTATATGAAAAGAATCATTATAAAGTTTCTTTAGCTGCTGTTTCTAGGGCCAAAACTTTGATTGAACAAGTTGCTAGAGATTATTTGAGATTATTGAAGTTTGGTCAGAGTTTATATCAATGTAAACAATTAAAGAGGGCTGCTTTGGGTAGAATGGCTACTATTACTAAGAAATTAAAGGATCCTTTGGTTTATTTAGAACAAGTTAGACAACATTTGGGTAGATTACCAAGTATTGATCCAAATACTAGAACTTTATTGATTTGTGGATATCCTAATGTTGGTAAATCTTCATTCTTAAGATGTATTACTAAAGCCGATGTTGAAGTTCAACCATATGCTTTTACTACTAAGAGTTTATATGTTGGTCATTTTGATTATAAATATTTAAGATTTCAAGCTATTGATACACCAGGTATTTTAGATCGTCCAACTGAAGAAATGAATAATATTGAAATGCAATCGATTTATGCTATTGCTCATTTAAGATCTTGTGTTTTATATTTTATGGATCTTTCTGAACAATGTGGATTTTCAATTGAAGCTCAAGTTAAATTATTTCATTCAATTAAACCATTATTTGCTAATAAATCAGTTATGATTGTTTTTAATAAATCAGATATTATTAAAACTGAAGATTTAGATTTAGAAAAACAAGAATTATTGAAATCATTATCAACATTCCCAGGAGTTGAAATCATGCATGCTTCTTGTCATGAAGAAGATAATGTTATGAAAGTCCGTAATCAAGCTTGTGAAAAATTATTAACTGCAAGAATTGAACAAAAATTAAAGGGTACTGCTCGTGTTAATAATGTATTGAATAAGATTCATGTTGCTAAACCACAAGCACGTGATGATGTTGAAAGACAACCATATATTCCTGATGCTATTAAAGAATTGAATAAATATGATATTAATGATCCAAATAGAAGAAAATTGGCCAGAGATGTTGAAGCTGAAAATGGTGGTGCTGGTGTATTTAATATTAATTTGAAAGATAAATATTTATTAGAAGATGAAGAATGGAAGAATGATATTATGCCAGAAGTTTTAGAAGGTAAGAATGTTTATGATTTCTTAGATGCTGATATTGTTGCTAAATTACAAGCTTTAGAAGATGAAGAAGAAAGATTAGAACAAGAAGGTTTCTATGATTCTGATTCTGAATTAGATGATGAGGATACTATTGATATTAAAGATAAAGCAGAATGGATTAGAAATAAACAAAAGGTTATGATTAATGAAGCTAGAAATAGAAAATCATTAAAGAATCAAGCTATTATGCCAAGAGATCAAGTTAAGAAATCTTTCAATGAAATGGAAGCACATATGTATAATATTGGTTATGATACTAATAAATTGAAAGCAACTAAATCTAAAAAGAATGAAGGTAAAGCATTATCAGGTGTTGATATATTAAAGAAGAATCAAGGTATTAAAACTTCAAGATTATCTAAGAAGAAACAAGCTGTTAATCAATCTGATCGTCTTAATGATGGTTTGGCAGATGGTGCATTAAGATCACAAGCTGAAAGATTGGCTAAGATTCAAAGAAGAGAAAGAAATAGAATGGCAAGACAAGGTGAAGGTGATCGTCATTCTACTGCTGCTTTACCAAAACATTTGTTTAGTGGTAAGAGAGGTATTGGATCTACTGATCGTCGTTAGATTACTCTATGGTTTGTATATTAAATTAATTTTGTATAGATTGTCTTTTGTTTTTATTAATACAGTTATAAACATTCTTAGGTTTTAGAGTATAAATTACTAAGCAATACTGCCTTACGACTGTTATTGGCTACGTTTAGTATGTTCCTTGTAGTAAGTTCTCGGAGAATAAAGGAAGAGGGATGCCAAAAAATAAGAGAGCCACAGTTTAATAGCAAATCAAATACTCTCAACGAAGGAAGGAAGGGATGGAGAAGGAGAGATGGCTGTGGACTTGTATTGTTTCCATTGTTAAGGAACAATAGAAATCATCGTACGTTTTGTGCTTTCTTTGTATCAATTTAAATTATTTTTTATTATAACCGTTCGCCTTTTAATCCGCACCTTAATAGTTGTGGTTGTGGTGAGAGTGGTGGTGGTGGTGGCTCGTAGTACAAGTGCGTGGGAAGGGCGGCGTGGGAAGTTTAACTAAGCGATTTTTCTATTGCAAAAAAAAAAAGTATTATTATTTTATGAAACTAATTTAATTACCAATTAGGAAATGAAACCCCCTCCTCCATAGAATGATTTACTGTAATTAACAACGTTTCCCCCCCCTTTAAACAAAGTGTTGGAAGATATATAAATAATCCACCTTAGTGGTTGATGGAAGTTATATTTAGGAATGTAGTTGCCCAATCTTGTGAAGATTTAATTTACAATTTAATTGTTTGATTTATAGATAAATCAATTACAATAAGAAAGATAGATCTCATATTGCACCCCCTTTTTTTCGGGTTTTAAAATAGAATAATAAAGTCTCTTATCTTTTATTTTTATTCTTTATCATAAAAACCATATTTTTTTTTGGGACAGTTAAATTACTTTATAGAAAGATTTAAATAAGAACTTACACAATTTCAATTAACAGGGTTCAAATATATAAAAATAGATATAATTAATTGTAAATCTAAATGGGTATTATTATAACTAGTAATACTCCCAATAATCATCCCAATCATCATAATAATCATCATAATTCCAATTCCAATCACCATACTCATCAACATCATTCTAATCCAAGAAAAAATATGCAATCTTCATTAGATATAATCAATACCACTACAACCAATACTCCTCCACAATTATTACCACCAAATACAGGTCCTCCCGGCACAACCCCAACCAATGCATCTTCAACCGCCAATAAGAATCTAAGTCATGTACCATGTAAATTCTATAGACAGGGGATATGTCAAGCAGGTAATTCATGTCCTTTTAGTCATAATTTAGATGGGTCATTAGCTGCTGATAAATTGCCTTGTAAATATTTTCAAAAGGGCAATTGTAAATTTGGATTAAAATGTGCTTTGGCTCATTTCTTACCTGATGGGACTAGAATTAATTCAAAGAATTTATTAAATTATGGGAATGGACAACAACAACAACTGATTAGACAAATTAATAGAGGGTCTTCATCGTTCAATTATACAACTACTAGTGGTGGTGGTGGAGGTGGTGGAAGTGGGACAGGTATTCTTGGTAGTGCTAATAGTACTAATAATTCTCCACCTGCTAGCATGGATAGATCAGATAGTTATTCTAGCTCAATTGCAACTTCTCCTACTAATATTCAATATCCTAATCCCAATAATAATAATAATGTTGCCAATTTCATAAATATAGGTACGCCCCAGGGGCAACCACCACCCCAACAATATGCTGGTCAATATACTCCTGATAGATATAGATCCAATTCATTTGGAAAACAACAAGAATCATCATATTTCCCCCCTCAACCATATTCAACATCACTTCAACAATTACCCCAACAAACAAGTAGACACCCATCACAGGGTACCTTCCAGCAACAACAACAACAATTACCTACTCCACATCAACATCAACAGCAAGTTCCACAGATGTTCACATCTCATTCATATACTGGTGGATATGTTTCTCAACAACAACAACAAGCACAACAAACACAGCAACAACAAAATATTCAAATGACAAGATCATTTTCTACAAGTTATACAATCCCTTCATCATCATCGAACACATCAACTAGATTATCATTAGGTTCACAAAATGGCGGATATTTTTCAAACTTCACCCAAGATTCAGCCATACTTGATGACGATTATGATGATGATTTAGATACATCATTTGCAGAAGAGGATTATGTGCCTGGTAGTTTGAGTGATATTATCCTCACTCCGCAAGAATTGAGGAGACGTGATTCAAGGAGTCAGAGTGGGACTTTGATGGGTGGTGGATCGATTTGGAATGTGGAGGAGGGTGCTGGTGGGAATGGGAATGGGGGAATGATGCATAGAGGAAGTGGGAGTTTTGGTGGTGGAGGGAATGATGTGTTTAGAAAGAGAGGGATGAGTGGGAATCAAGATGATGTTTTCTTGATGGAATAGATACTCTGTGTGTGTGTGAGTGTGTGTGAATAATAAAATGCTTTAATTGGTGGGTTTTTGGTTGTAAAAATAAAAATGGTTGCAAAAAAAAAGAGACGTCATATTGTAAATTAAAAAAGGATTTAACAAAAATAAAGCAATAAAATACGAAGAGAGTTGGAGATAGAAGTTGTCCTAAGATACAACTTGGTTGGTTGGTTGGTTGTTATTGGTTGGTTTGATGTGTTTCTGTTTTGGTATTAAAAAGACATTTGTTACTTAAAAATATAAAATTGTATTGTAAAAAAACTGTTTAATAGATGAAAGTTTATATTAATTATATTATATACATGTACAAGATATTCTAACTCTACAAGAACCCGATGGGTCACGTCTGTCAGTGTGTCTATCTATTCAATCTTATTTGGATCATTACGATAAATATCACCAAAGAGAGTTGTCAATTCTTTCATCTTCTTTGGAGTCATTGTAATTGCATCAGGTTGAATCTTTCTATCTCCATCACTTTCAAATACTTTCCCAGCTAAATAGATTTCATCAGTTGTTGGATTTAAACTAAATACCAAATAATCAATACTTTCAGTTTCTTTAACTTGAACATCTTTCCCAACTTCACCACCAGAAGCAATTCTTGAAATTGCTACTTTTTGTTTTGTATGTAATTTCATAATAAATTGAACATAAACCAAAATATTATTAGAATCAGGAATCACATTAAATGATACAACTTTTGGATTCCCAATGATTTCAACCAATTCCCATTTAATATGACTACCTTCTGGGAAACTGGTCACTCTTTGACATAAAGCTTGCATGGTACTTTGACCAACATTATGTTGTAATTTTGAAAAGATAAATTTTTCACGATTCTTTCTTTCCAAAGGTAAATTACAAGCATTTGAAAATGTTTTATTTACTTTAACAAATGTTTCAATTGAATCATCTTTCCATTTATTAAATTGTAATGAAATTCCTGATTCTTGTTTAAATTTAACAATATTATAAGTATTATAAGCAAACATTCCTAATCTACGTAATAAAAGACGAGGCCATTTTGAAATTGGATGATCAGTTAATTTAGGTGGGACATAGAAATCAGCCATGACTCCAAGATATGAAAGTGGGATTTGTGAAATATCGGCAACAGCTCCATCTTTCTTCTTTTTGGCATAAGTTCTAATTGGATTGATGATTGTGGAGGATGGAAGGATATGACGATTGATATGGGATGATGATGTACGGAGTAATGGTGAGTATTCCCTGGATATGAGGGTGGAACTACTTCTTAATCCAATCATAGTAGTAGTAGTAGTAATAATTTGTATGTACAAGGGGTGGTTGGTGATTGATATTAGAAGTTGATTGATTCAATTGAAAATTTTTAAAATTGAAGAATTTAATTATTATTTTTTCTGTTGTACAAGAATGTAAGGTTATATGCAGTATCCAACGATTTGGATTTGAACTGGTGGACCGTGGGAACAATTGCAAAAAGTTCAATGAGATCAGAGACATCATTCAAATTCTCAATATAAAATCATAAGTAAAGTCGTAAATTTTCTTATAAATGGTTGCTGTTCTTGGTTATCACTTGGGTTGAATCATGGACTTTAGAAGAATGCCACTTTAAGCTACGAAGAAAGTCACAACATCCAAGAAAATTAATTCTACGAAAAACTTACAAAATCTTTAAATTCATATTAATCAATTCTGATACAATCTCATAAAACCCCTTCCATTGCATTTCCATTACCATCCTTCTGCATTTATCTCTCTTTCTATAATTGTCTACGTCAATATAGGTGCTTTTGTTAGTTCCAATAATAATAATACAATATTTGCAATCACAATGATTTGATTGGTACACGAACTTTATTCCTAAAAAAGAAATCAAAGCCAAAACCAAAAAAAAAAAAAAATGGTAACAGAGATGAGATCACTACATCATCACCAACTTTACCTTCACCAACTATACTTAAAAACCATTAACCAGAACAAGATACAACATGCCAGTTCAAAAACAAAAACCAGGTAAGCAAAAGCTTGCACCCGAAAAGGAAAGATTCTTACAATGCTGTGGAGATATTTCTCTTGAATTAGTTGCATCCCTCAAGAATTCAAAAGATATAAATTTGAATGGACTTGTTGGTCGATATTCCAAAAAATATAAATTAAAACAACAACCAAGATTAACCGACATTATATCATCAATCCCTGATCAATATAAGAAATACCTTATCCCCAAACTAAAAGCAAAACCCGTCCGTACCGCTTCCGGTATCGCCGTGGTTGCAGTTATGTGTAAACCTCATAGATGTCCTCATATTGCCTATACCGGGAATATCTGTGTTTATTGCCCTGGTGGACCAGATTCAGATTTCGAATATTCAACTCAATCATATACCGGATATGAACCAACTTCAATGAGAGCAATTAGGGCCAGATATGATCCATATGAACAAGCAAGAGGTAGAATTGAACAATTGAGACAATTGGGACATTCGATAGATAAAGTAGAATATATCATTATGGGAGGGACGTTTATGTCATTACCTATTGAATATCGAGAAAATTTCATTACTCAATTACATAATGCTTTGACTGGATTCAATGGTCGTGATATTGATGAAGCAATTGAATTTTCTCAACAATCACAAACGAAATGTGTTGGGATTACGATTGAAACTAGACCAGATTATTGTACTGAGACTCATTTGAGTGATATGTTGAAATATGGATGTACTAGATTAGAAGTTGGTGTTCAATCGGTTTATGAAGATGTTGCTAGGGATACTAATAGAGGACATACTGTTAAAGCCGTATGTGAAACTTTTGCCGTGGCAAAAGATGCCGGGTATAAAGTTGTAAGTCATATGATGCCTGATTTACCTAATGTTGGAATGGAACGTGATTTAGAACAATTTAAAGAATATTTCGAAAATCCAGAATTTAGAACCGATGGTTTAAAATTATATCCAACTTTAGTCATTAGAGGTACTGGTTTATATGAATTATGGAAAAAGGGGCTTTATAAATCATATAATGCAAACGCATTAATTGATCTAGTTGCAAGAATCATGGCGCTTGTTCCACCATGGACCCGTATCTATCGTGTGCAAAGAGATATCCCCATGCCATTAGTCACTTCGGGGGTTGAGAATGGTAATTTAAGAGAATTAGCCCTCGCCAGAATGAAAGATTTCGGTACGTCATGTAGAGATGTTAGAACAAGAGAAGTAGGTATACAAGAAGTTCATCATAAAGTCCAACCTGATCAAGTTGAATTAATTAGACGTGATTATTATGCTAATGGTGGTTGGGAAACTTTTTTGAGTTATGAAGATCCCAAAAAGGATATTCTTATTGGATTGTTGAGATTAAGAAAAGCATCGAAGAAATATACATATCGTAAAGAATTCACTAGTCAACCTACTTCGATTGTTCGTGAATTACATGTTTATGGTTCGGTTGTTCCATTACATTCAAGAGATCCAAGAAAGTTCCAACATCAAGGGTTTGGGACTTTGTTGATGGAAGAAGCAGCAAGAATTGCGAAAGAAGAACATGGATCTAAAAAGATTAGTGTTATTTCTGGAGTTGGGGTAAGAAATTATTATGCTAAATTGGGTTATAAATTAGATGGTCCATATATGTCTAAAATGTTAGATGAAGAAGAGGATGATTAATTGGTTTATATAGATTTTTTTTAGTTTGGTTTATAATAATAATTACATGTGTATTATTCAAATATTTAACCTATACAATTCCGGAAATGATTGTTTTCGTTATAATTACACTCTTTAATTTATCTAAAAACATCCCTATTTTGAACGATTCAAGAAACTTGAATTCATATTCGTCAAACCTCCTCTATGTAATGCAGGTGCTTTCACTTTACTTCTCAACAATGATTGAACATTTTCTCTAGTTGGTGGTGGAATTGCCGCCGTTCTACTATTCGTTCTACTCACACCACCAGCCTTTCTTTGTTTCTTAATTTCCTCCAAATCATCCAATCTCTTCGTTACAGCTTCACGAATAAGTTCACAACCTTGACCACGATATTTAACTAACCATGGATGATGAAGTAATGCGGCATATGAAGGTCTTAAATCGGGGTTTTTGTTAAGACAAGATTTGACAAACATTTGTGCTTCTTTGGAAAATATCGATTGATCTAATTTTGGTGGTTCTCCATCAACTATTGCACTTAATTGAGAAAATATATTATCATAAGTTTCAGGAGGATATGGATAATGACCAACGGCAATTTCTAAAATCGTTAACCCAAGGGACCAAATATCCGAATGAACGGAATATGTTGCATCATTGGGTGTTATACTTCTTATTCTTTCTGGTGCCATATATGATTGACAACCAATATTGGTTTTCGCCAATGAAGCAACCAAATTCCCTGATACTCCAAAATCACAAAGTTTAACCTCTCCAAGTGTATTCACCAATATATTTGTAGGTTTCACATCACGATGGATGATGTTATGTTTATCTTTCAATTCCTTCAATCCTCGTATCACCGATTCGGTAACATATGCCAATGCTGCTTCATCTTTACATCCAATATTACTACCAAATATCTTATCCAAAGATCCACCATCCATATATTCAATACACATATATACTGCCCCTTCAACAAAGAATGCTCCGTAGAAATCAACAATAAATGGTGAATTACATTTATGTAATACATCTAATTCCATCAAGATTTGGGTGAATTTAGTTTCATCTAATTCTAATCGAACTTCTTTCATTGCCATTAATACTCCAGTTGGTTTATGTAATACCTTCAGTACTGATCCATAATTTCCATGACCTAATTCTTCTATATATTCAAGTTCATCCAATGAGATACGGAATGAAGATCCACTCAGAAAATCAACCCCTTCGGAATGTAAGGATGCCTTGCCGGCAAATTTCAATTGTCCGGATTTTATATCGACATATTTTGAATAATTGGCGAATAAACCATGAAGGTTGTTGTTGTTGGGAGTTTGCTGTGGTGATTGCATTTGTGAATTTGATTGTTCTTGCTGTTGCTGTTGNTGTTGTTGTTGCTTCTCCTCTGGCGTGCATCCTTCAGATGAATTTGAAGTAGGGTTGGAAGATCTAGTAAGACTGGCGCTACGTGATAATGATGGCATTGAATTTGGTAAATCGTTACTTGTCATCCCATCAAGATTCAATTTAAAATTTGGTTTATTCTTCCGTTCTGATAATCTTCTAGATAATTCATGTGGTGTTACAGATAATTGATTAGCTATTGGTGTTTGAGACATGATGATTTCTGAAGTCGGTCTATTATTATTGTTTACGCTAGAAGAACTTCCTGCACTTGATATATCACCTTGATTATTGTCAGGATACGCTACCGGACTTAACATTCTTGGAGATGGGGTATTTGGAGTACTATTACCAATTGCCAAATCACTGACATTTAACTTCATACCTCTTCTTTGTGATAAAGACGGCTTCTTCTTTAAATCTATAGTTTGAGTCAGATTGGAAGATGGTATTCGTCCACTAATCGTATGACCACGCGTTGGCATAGGATACGTGAATTGTTGAGTTGAATCTGGAGGCGCAGATACTGGAGAACCAGGAGTACTGCTACTAGTTATTGACTCGTGCAGAAGTGTTCGTTTGTCATTGTTGAACATTGCTGATCTAATAGATTCTGAACCTGGTAATGGCGGGAGTTGCTTTTCCGATATACTTGTTTGCAGATGATTTCTTGAAGTATTCGTACTTGTGTTGTTCTCGCCATCATTCACTAGTGGTGGTGGGGACATGGATGATGATAGTTGAGAGTTATTGGAATCAGAGTTTCCAAGTTTAGCGCGTCGTTGTTGAAACGCCATTAGTCTTGCTTGAATATCACTTTTCAACTGCGGGTGAGAAGATGTAGATGATGACTGTGGTGGAACTGTGGGTGGTGTTTGCTTAGGTGGTTGGTTGTTGATTGACACTGCTGATGAGGACGTCATATTACTAACAGGTCTCTGAATACCTATGTTTAAATTGTTCATTAGTAAATCATCAACGCCTGAGTTGTGATTGTTGCGTGAAGATAAGTTTGACTGACTGCTGTTGTTCCCTGACATCGTTCTTTATGTTTGTATGTATATCTATCTATTAAGGATGCTTTTAATTTTGATTGTTGTGAAAGTTAATTTTAAAAGGAATGACTAGCGAATATGTAATCATGCAAGGAAACGGGAACGCTAAATGAGACTTCTCAAAAGTGCTTTATCTGAGCTGGGTTCAACGTGTAATATATTGTAGGTATTGGTATGTCTATAGTCTGTTTATATTGATGTCCCACTAAGTTGTGGCCTGTTATTTGATTAGTTAATGATTGCTTAAATTTGGAAAACCTAAAAAAAATTAAAAATTAAAAATAAAAATAAAATTTTATTTAAATTTTCTGGAATTTTAAGGTAAATGGTTAAATTTTTCCTTTTGGTTTGAACTTATTATTTATTTATTTTTTTATTAAAAATTCTTGGAATTCTCGGAATTAATAAAAATTCAATCTTTTATGTTTGGATTGAAGCGGAATTCAACGAAGTGTATTACACAAGACACAATATAACAAGTAAATTGTAAAGTTTGTTAAAATGATGATGATCCTATATTCAGTCTTGTTGTTCTTGTTATTTTAAGTTATAGTTGTGTGACTTAAAATTATAGATGTCAATTACAAAAAACTGGCGTTTTTTTCTCTTTAGATTCTTGAGTGATAAGTAAATGCCGAAGCAACACACACTGTTCTATTCTTTTTGTCTCGGTTTCAACACAAAAGAAAGAGTTAATCTCTTAACAGAAAATCTGAAACAATTCACAAAAAAGCTTATTTATTCAATTATTGATAAAGAAAGTGGTTCCTGATTGGCTTTCCAATTGAGTTTTGGAATGAATGAAAATAAAGCTCAGGGTTGACTAACCACAGAAGAGTCCAAATTGTATAGTTCCCCTTAAAAATTGGCAAAAATCTTTTCTTAATACTTACATGAAATATTCTTGGTATTTTCTTGGGTATAATCAACCACTATCTTTCAATGAAATTATTCTTTATTGCTCTAAGGCGGGTACCCCCCCCTCTCTGTATTTTAATCATTTATTTGTTCAGTTTATAATTTTTGATCGGAATCTGTAAATCGGGTAAATTTGTTTCTTTTTTTTTTCTTGTTTCTTACTTCCTACGATTGCCAATAATCTTGAGAGAAACTGGTTAAATTTGCTTGGAACCACTCATGACGGATTGATAAAAAGCGGCTATGTTCCCGGTTACTATGGGATTGCCAATTGAATGACAGTTACTGGGAAGGGTGCACGTTGTGACGGGATCATCTCTTTTTTTTGGTTGTTTTCTCTCTCTCTCTCTCTCTCTCTCTCAAGAGTGGCAAGAAGTGCTTCAAAGAACAAATACATGTAACGAAACTCTAATTCGTTTAGTCTTGGTGCTGGTACCTGACTTACAAAAACATAAAGTACAGTTACTTGGCAAACCTCATAAAATTAATCTTGGTACAGGCGTCTCAAATTGGGGATGTAAGCCCTTAACCTCAACCTTCTATAAAGCATCAAGACAACAGAATGGAATTACATTTCCGACTAATCTGAATAATTTCTTGTTGAGGCCCTCAATGGCCCTAAATAAATGAACTAAAATTTTCTTCAAGATGAATGTGATGAATGTTAGACGATGAAATACCAAATATACTCTTGTCCTTAAAAATGATGAAGATATGGTTTGTAGAAAAGTTTTGCAACAGATCTACATATGGTCAGTCTCTTTAGTTAAATTGTTTTTGCAACCAATTTTCTTTTGATAGAATAAACTTTTTAGTTGGACCAAAAATCGTGAAGAATACACAAGAAGTCAAGTACCAATGATTAATCAGATATATTGTTAGTATAATCACTAAGTAAGCAATAAAATCATATCCAAGACGAATTGGTCAAATCTGTAATAAGCCAGCACCAAAACATTTTAAAGATGGTTCAAATGCTGCCAAACAAATAAATATGAACTTCTACAAATAGCGACATCCATGTCGTAATGTCGCGTTTTCTACCTTAGTCATAAATTCAGAATTAGTTGTCAGAAAGTTTGTTGTATTTGAATTAATGGTACTTTGCCATAAAGAATGATTTAATTATATGGTTAATGGATGGTTCGGATAACACTCACCATACAAGCCCAAGTGCGACATATGACAATACTTTTTCCACTTCTTCTTTAGATGATTCTACGTTACGAATACAAATAAATGATTATG